TAAGGTGATACGAGATAATAATTCTTTGAAGGACCAGAAATATTGCTTTGACTTCTACCAATTTACGACACACAGATTTTTATATTTTTCTGTTTAATTGATTACAAACCAGTATTTTTGCCAATAAATCATATCAGAAATGACGTAGTATTCACTAAATTAAAAAAATAATTTATATTCCTATGTTAAGCGGCGTACAAAGGTATGTATTATAGTTGAAGTTTTACGATCATAACATGGAAATTGATCAAAGTTACCGCGATTTCTCCGCTTACAAAATTATCGTAGAAGCGAGCAGTGAGTAGTCCAGGAACGAATTGAAAAAGTAAACAGTAGCGACACAAAGCGAGGCTTCATTGACCCACCGACACAATGCTGACCTACAATTTGCTGTTAATTAGTTCTGTTCCATTCAAAGAATGCCGTGTTCGATGAAAACGAAACAATTAGCTTTTATACTGAAGAATTAACATGTTATTAAATAAGACGAAGATTTTTATTTCATAGAAACAATAGAGTTAACAGTTTCAAATAAAGTAGTCAATTCCTTACAACGAAGTGACTAAGACCAATCGAAGTAGGTCACAATCATTACAACAATCAACGCCAAAAAACTTGGGAACGTTAGATATTATTCAATTCTAGAATGTTCTCGAACTTTACGACAAAAAGATAAGTGGACACATGGTACAGGCATTGGATTACCCTTCAGCGACCAGCTAACGTGCACCCATTATCTCTGTGATTGGAGCTTGAGAGTGTAATAAAAATTCTCTGTAAGTAGAGTTACATGCAGATATGAGGCTAAAGACGATAGTAGTAATGGGAGTCTTTCAAGTATCTTGGGAACAAATAGAATATCAAACTGAGTAACCTTCCTAGTTATCTACTATGGGACCGTCGGTTACTGTAAAGTCTGTGATAGCCCTTACTGATTAAACTAATTTGGTGCTCCCAATAGGAATGTAAGGTACTGTTCTAAAGTCAGTTTTACGATCATTTATTTGACTAGACGTTATATCAACGAGCTCAATAGATGCCTAAGGCGAGCGTCTCGAACGGAACACGTGTCGCTGATTGCCCTCAATTGGCGAGCGAATAAAAACAATCGTCGCTTAAAAATAACCGTGATTTCATCCAGCAACATGTTTTCTTTCGGTGTAACGAACATATTCCACAAATTCCCATGGCCATCCCATGTGAAATGTCCTGGCTGGGCGGTCCCAGCCGTGGCTGTGGATGTGAATCACTAATGATAATGAACCTTTGTAGAATATGGAACGGGAACTTCTTCCAGGAACAGGCGGAATCGTAAAACAGCGTAACGCGTACGCGCCTCACCATATGGAGAGCGTGAGAGCCCGCGGCTTCACAATCCACCATACAATACACCATCTGATGTTTTTATCGTGGCTGACCATTACGCAAATATTGAGATAGTGACATCCGCAAATAGCGATTAACTACGTTCAATAAATGGGTCAAATTCAGGAAGTAAAACCGCAAACATATTTTTTGTTCCCAGAAATAAAACAATGTATTTTGTTACTGATAACTATCGCAATGAACAACAAGGAGTGTAATTGACGATACCCGCAGTAGTAGTTTGTCATTAAAATAAATAATAGATATGCATTTTGCTCCTATGAACGTAGCGAACGAATGATACTTTATAAACAAAAACTTCCTTTGCGGATCAGATTCAACCACTGTAACAAGGTTCATTATTGTATGTTTTCTATAGATACCAAATTCCTTCTCAAGTAAATAATAACTCCTTAATGAACTCTTAATGTGATACCCAAAAAACATCTTCAAACAACTTATTATTAATATCTGGTTTTTCCATAAAGTCATTATGTAAACGTTCTCACACTTGATCGCACATTTATTGCCTAGACCTTTACAATTCAAATGTGTCTAAAAATAATTGTGCTAGTACGTAACTAGTTTTTTTTATAAATTATTAAGTCATCGTCATAAAATCTTCCATCCATTTAACGACACATTGGTTTTAGCTCAAGAAACTGTAACTGCAATAGTGAAATACGCATTTTAAACTCCTATTCATAAGCTTTTTTTCTAGTGACCACTTAAGTGTTTAGTGGCAGTGGCTATTGTTGGGAGTTAAATCAGATATGTGCCAGAAGGCGCCAGTCAATAAAAAATCTCCTTACAACCATTTACGCCATATCTTCGATACATTGTTAAAGTTTTTTTCTTATTTGGACGCACTGATAAAACTGCTCTGTAAATACTTTTTAAATGTTTACTGGTGGAATTTGATAAAGTATACCCAGCGGCTAAACTTTTGAATTTCTCATTATGCATGACTTTGACAAATGGTGTTACATTAGGTGTTGGTGCATTTTGCGTGTAATGTACAATTGTGTTTTTGTTTTTCGTGACGTTCAGTTGTCACAGTCATTACGCACATCCGTTGTTAAGATGCACTTGCGTGGGGCAATTTAATTAGCCAATTATAATTCAGTGCACATTTTGACGTCAGTGCGAGGGTCAATCCATTTACATCCACTTTGTTCTGATAACCATCCTAATTCAAATAATGGAAATCAACGATTATCTCAATATTCCGGCAAATTAATATCCAGGATATCGAAGAGTGTTAGCGACAGGAAATTCAATAGTCACATCCATATTTTCAAAGTTTTACTTCCATAGACATGAATACATGATGCTCCGTGACATGGAGGGTTCATATAGCGGCTTTGAGCAACCAATCAGTCAGATTGGAGCATATCGTGCGAACGCGTTATAATAGGAGGATATTATAATAAACAGATCCCGGTCCCCTCGGTTCACTCCGCCCTCCCTAATAAATATTAATGTATGAACTTGAATGCTCCTCAATGTTCACAGTGATGCTGGTACATTGACACTCAATTTGCTTTTTGCAGGCTCTGCATTGATAGCTTTTCCGTCGCTAATATGATCTTTGTGTACTTTCTTGCACGTTGATATTATCGCGCAGGTATTTTATCTCTTTTTACTTGGTTTTATTGATACCTCTGTTAACTTCGTCGCGTCGTAAAAGAGCAGTTTTAATAGTAATGTAAATGTTTATGGCGAGGTGTTATTTCTAAAGCGATGGAGTTGCATTCATCTGGTATAAAGTATCTTTAGCTCGTTTGTTTATATGTTTATTAGAAAATATAAACACTATCTGATGGGAACTTCGTCTACCTACTAACAGGGTTATGGTGGAGCTTTCTCATAATAATGAGCTTTTAACAAAATATTTACGTTATTTAGTGCAGGTGCGCAGTTTTCTCATACAAAAGTTGAACACATTTTTGTGGCCAGTGTATTTTATTTACATCAAATTCCAATTGTAAACGGCCTGATTCAAATATATGAGACACTGTATAGACGAATTTTGAGCGTATAATTTCAGAAATTGTACAAAAAATAAACACTATCGGAAATTCTATATCTCGTAACTCTAAAACCAATAAAGAGCTATAGTAACACATCAAGGGTGAGTCGGAATCACCCTTTTAGCCGGAAGGGTCATGTAGTACAATACAGTACAAGTTAGGGTTGGCGAGAACAGTTTCCATTTCGGCTTCCCACGCCACCCCTGCAGGGAAACCCCACTTGTTGATTTTTGTTCCGTAATCGAGCCCCCATTTGACATCGTTTCCGGGGCCCATTAACAATAACAATTATTTTTATTTTAATGTTCTATGTTGACATCGGTACATCGATTATGAGTATACAGTCTAGTCGACTCAATGTGGGGACTTAATGAGCTAGTGGCTAGTGCTGTACACTCGATTTTGTCGTGTCGTGATCAATCATAGTCCTGAGCCGAACTTGGATCTTTATCTGGAATGTATTATGTCGTGTAATTACTGTAAATAAGTATTTTTAACGTTGTTTGACATATTACACCCTCTTAGATAGATACTAAATATTACGAGAATAGTAACTAACCATATTAACGACTAACTATATTAATTTGCAAAGGCAGTAAGTAACCAATTAAAATAATTATTACATAACCCCGTATATTTACCTACCTACTTAAGATAGGTACGCAATATTGATTTATAATTATTGTGCCCCTACTACATAATTACTTGTCACGCTAATAGCTCCCTATAGCAAGTTCGAGATTAATAAAATATTGTATTTAGAGATAAGATCAAAATTTACATTCAAATTATAAGAGGTGCTACCTTCAGGCGACCGACATCGGTAGTTATGATAAAAATGTCGTGTTCTCGTGGTACCTACTTATTCGATGAATGATTCATTTGAAATACATAAAAAGGTTGTTAATAACGTAGGACACGCGATCGCAAATAATATGGTAATAAAATGTGGCTTGATTAAGAAAATTGCCTTGAACAATGTATCGCCTCGGGGCAGGATTGTTTATATTTTGAATGAGATGAATTCCGCGCGGATTCGCCATACTTTTTGAATTCTTACATTTTAAAATATTTAATTTATATATTTTATTATTAAATGAATGTATGATTACTGTAATTATTAAGAAGTTAATAACATAGTAGATATCGTACAAATTATAAAATAGGTTATATGGCTTCTAGTTTTTACCTAATGAGTAGACATAATTATGTGATATATACAAATCCAATTTAAGTACAAAAAGTGTACATAGAGTATTTATTTACATACCTACTTAGCAGATTAGGTAAGTAAGTAAACTAAAATTATTCAATTTTAATATAGACGCCTATTGGAGTTTTGAATTTATACAAGTTAAATATACGAATGCCTTATAACCATGAATAAATTCAAGATCAAAGCAAACAATATATTCAGAATATTGATTGGCAAACTATGTCAACAAGTTTGAAAAACACTCCGAACTTTCTACAAGCAAAACGTTTTAATGCGAACAACAATACGCAATTAACTATGCAAGTAATTAGTTGATTGATCGATTCTATATTCAAATTCATAAATAAAAAGTGTGCCAAACAATAGAGGTTTCAACATCAACATACCTGCCAGTCCAGTCGCACTGATCACCAATCATACCCGCCTCCGCTCTGCATAAAACTCCCAAAAATACAGTCCAAAATAATCGCCTCATCTCCATTTTAACGAATTAAAATACAACAGTACCAATTAAAACACTGCTTCAATCACATCACTTGAAAACAACCTGTCTATGTAAGTTCCATAGTTATTCAGTTCCTTTACAAAAGTAAACAAACGCGCCCGCGAATACAACAACGCGGCAACACTTCTCCAACTCAGAAACTTGACTAAACTATCCACCGACAGAGACAACACCTCTTGGACACACATTTACTTCAACGAGTAAAAGAGACCGATATAACAACATTCTAACAAAGAGAAACAGATATAGACTATCTCTTTCCATAATATTGCTATGTGTGTCGTTCCAATATGAACTTTATCTTCATATTGAAATGTTACAAATCTGTTTGGAAAGGCTTGATAAGCTTTTCGAGGGCTTTTAGAATTGGCGGGAAAGGTTTACCGTATTATCTGCGAGGTTAACTTTGAGAGTAACTTTGTATATTTAAAATATTCGCGATAATTTTATTTATTTGAGCATTTAAATAACAAGGTTACTAACTAGTTACTTATAATAATAATAGGCCACATAAATTTTCCCAACCTACCTAGCTATTAGCAGTTTAGAAATGCGAAAAATTGTTCCTTTCGTGGATAATTAAGAGCCATTAATCAAAAACAGCAAATAGTAATAATTATAACAAATATTTCGTTAAGTATTGCACAGGTAGATAATGATAATTATTCTTTTAACCTTTAAGTTAAAATACATTAAAGATATAGATCATATTTCGAAAGTTATAATTACCTGTCCTTTCGGTCGTGAATCGGCACATCCTCATTTTTTTAAACGGTTCTATCTTTTGACGTGAATTCTGCGCGTCGATTTAAAGGCGACTTTACTAATTAATAGCTAAATAATGGTTTTACCAAATAATAGTTATGGTTTTTACATTTTTTATCTTTACACCGAATTTAATTTTAGAGCGAATGTGTCAATAAAGTAAAGCTATCCCTGAGATCGATATCGGTACCCAGAATTAAAGTTTTTGCGACGTTTATGGGAAGATAAGCAAGGAGTATGATTTTTAGGAAAGTGGAGATTTATCTTAGGGTCGTGCGGACCCTTTTATAGTATTTGTGGTATATTCGATTCATGGCACGTCGACGTGTTTCGTCCGTGCTTGAGGGCGCGCGCGCCTTGTTTGCGAACAGATAAACTAAATCAATAGGCAGTGTTTGCTCGGCTAGTAGATAGCCGCATTGTCGCCATTCACTTGTGCTTGTTTAGGCCGATGAATCGACCCCTTATCTCTCTTTTAACAAAAATAAGTCCCTATAACATGACACAGCTAGAAGACGTAGGTACCTGTCTGAGTCCAAGAATTCATTTTATAGGTAGAGAGTACTAGTATAGAAATTGACAGACTTTTCGACGTCTTGACCTTTTTCTTAGGAAATCTCAGAAACGTTATATATCTCCTACTTAGGTACTCATAATTATTAAATCATTTGCAATGCTCAATTGCTACAAATATTGAAAAACTCACTAGAACTGAGGTTTCAGTTATTCATACTTTGAATAAAGCTACGATTATAAATCGATGTTTCAAATCAATCAATGTTATAAACGTATTCATTGTCTCAATATAAAATAGACAAAGCGCTATTGTCGAACTTGACTAGCATTGTTCCATTAATTAAACTTTATAAACATTATTTTCTTCGCTCTTTAGCCATTTGTTATATAAAAGAAAGACTAAGTGACGAGATACAACTAGTGTATTAGATCTAGTCAATATGATCGTCACGTTCATCTTGTTCGGTTTGAGTTTGGTTTCGTCTTACAATAAATCGTCTGTGAATATGTGCTTGTGGCATAATAATACATGTGAGTTTATTAGCACTCCATTATTTTCTTTTAACTTTTCTATTGAGAGGGAAAATCACCCAATGAATGAATTTCGGTTGGGCATTCAGCCCTACCACCTACTGGGTCCCATCTGTGGTGGTCTGATTTCCATTAAGAGTGGAGTCAGTACTAAACATTATCGAGTTGATAATGTTTAGTACTGACTCCACTCTTAACTCTCTTAACTCTTAACTCAGTTGGTTGCAGATTATCAATCAAAGCAATTTATCTACCAACCCCCGATGGTCCCCGCGGAAGACTAAACGGGTTACCGGGGCTCCGCTTCGAAGCAGAAGTAGGAACGGGGTGGTTTTAGTCAGTAAAAGTCTGACACTCCCTCTACCTCACCAAAACCGGGAAGAGTCATTAAATCATTATGGTCCCTTTAAAAAACCGATTTTATAATTCTCTATTAGTTTCCTGATTGTGTACTTTCTGATAGATGACAAAAAAAATATTTTTTTTGTTAGTTAGGTCTATTATATGTATAAGTAGTTTTCAATAACTTCGGAAGTGAACTAAGGACAAAGGTAGGTACAAAACCTACTTAAAAAACATTCGATGATTTTCCCCCCTTAAAAAACCTACTTTAAAAAATCTAATCCATCTAAAATGAGGTTGGCACTCATTTAGAACCAAATTTTAACTACTTACACCAGCGCTAACGCTAACTACTTACATTAAGCATTACATTTGTCTATGTCCGTTGGATAAATGCCTTAAGAAACGCTTATTCGAGCTAACTTAAGACGATCATTAAAGCACCAACTCTCACGGTGGTCGTATAGTGATACATTTTTTGTTTCGTGAACATTGTCATTAGGTTATATAGCAATATTATTTGCATTCGCTTAATCGTATCACCAGTATCTCGTAGTCAGCCCATTTGTTATTAGGAACCCAAGTAGCTAGTAGCTACATAAGTAAGAATATAAATTCTTAAATTCCCATTAGCATTAGGTGTCGAGTTTATTGCCCAGATGTAAAGTATTAAACTGTCAAACACCAAGCGGTCACCGGTGACCGCAACCTATTGTTCTTTAATTGTGTCTATAAATACGGTACTCGACGAGTTAAAAAAGAAATATGAACTCACTTGTTGGTTTTCCACCTAGGTGGATACCATCCGATTTCGAAGCAAGAAGTTCCATCCAAATGTATTCCGAATTAATTGTGTCTCTTATTTTAGGTGTCGATTCCTGTCCAGAATGGATGATCCAAAGAAAAAGCAACTGCACGGCCTCATATTGGCCAGCTCAAAAAACTTGCGAGCATCCTGAACAAACGCTTGTAGGCACCGTTTGCGGATTTTCAAGATGTGACTGTCCTGATCCTCTTGCGCTAGACACGGAAACCGGTTTCTGCTATGATGTAGACAATTGTCCAACAAAACATACAGTGTAAAATTTTTATTAAGTACCAAAGTGATGAATACCTAATGTTAGTACATACAATGTCATTATTCGTTTTGAGTAAGTACCTAGATGTAATAAGATACATAGACTTTGTCAACTTCTTTGTTTGAAAAAGGCTTGTGGAGTACCTATCCCTTTGTCTCATTCTTCAGAAACAATTAGTATGTTAAATTACACAACATAACATAACGACACGCCTTTTACCCCCGAAGGGGTAGGCAGAGGTGCACATTATACCACTGTACAATGTAACACTCACTTTTCACTATTTATGTTATGAGTCCCATGTAATAGGGGGTGAGCCTATTGCCTTATACCGGACACAATTCCAGACTCCGTGCTACTACTGAGAATATTTAAAAACCCAGTAATACTTTGCCCGACCCGGGAATCGAACCCGAGACCCCTTGCCCGGCAGTGGCACTTACGACCACTCGGCCAACGAGGCAGTATGTTAAATTCTCATTTATAATTAACTAGCTTTTACCCGCGACTTCGCTCGCGTCACAAAAGGATAAAAAGTAACCTATGTAACATATACCAATACACACAGTGCCATCTATACCAATACTTTTGTTTTCCCTCGGGAATATCAAATTTTTCCGGGATAAAAAGTACCCTATTATTTAATCCAGACTTCTAACTTTACGTCTGCAAAAATTCAAAGCAATCGGTTTAGTAGTTACGGCGTGAAAGCGGATCAAACAAACAAACTCACTTTCCAATTTATAATATTAGTAAGGATGTTTTAGTTGAAGCTTCGCGATGACTTAAATCTGAAATTTCTGAACGTAGTTCCAACGTCAATGTCAGTGTAATGTCATGTATGACAATGACTGTCAAAATTCAAAAATCGTATTGACATTTGTTTTGCCCGAAATCAATGGCATTGATTTTTTGATTTGCGGTGTAATTTATTAAGTGAAACTACCAATAATATTAAGCAAAATGTTACGTTTTTGTGCACAAACTACGTTCAGTCAAAATAAAATACTCATACAACCTCTCATACATAAACAGATAACCTCTAAATTAAAAGCCATTAACAGCTGTACTAGTATTTTGAGTAGAAATTATGCAGTGAAATTAACTGAAGAGGAGAACAAGTTAGAATGTATATACAAAGGTCCACTGACGCCACAGATTAAGGGTGTCAAAGTGTTTTCGTTGAGCTCGAGTGCAGCGGGCTTATTGGCACAACCTATAATCATTAGAGAAGCTGCTAACATAGGCAGTACTTCGCTGCTCGTCGCTATTTGCTCAGTAGTGGGTTTCTTCACATTCGTAACTCCTGTGTTACTTCACATTATCACCAAGAAGTATGTAACAGAAATACATTACGACCCTACAACATCAACATACACAGCTACCACTATCAACTTCTTTTTAGCGAAGAAAATGGTATGTACATGTTACTGACGTCTTAAATAGTCCTAATTATCATATGAAAAATCAATCTTATTCGTGTAAAAAGTGCCTAATTAAAAGTCCTATCATAATTTTCTGTTTTTACATCTCCATTTACTAAGCACAAACTTTAGCAACTAAGCTTTTACTATAAATTTTAAATGTTACTTCCAGCTGGACTTCAAAGTGGAAGATGTTGAGGTACCTGAGATCCCCGGTATGTTCACCACATTGAAAGCTAAAGGAACACCTCTCTTCATAGAAGCGCGGCACTTCAATGATCCTCTACACTACGCCAAGATGATGGGCTATGACAAACCTATGGACTTCAAACTTGGAGACAGTAGTGAAGGCTCAAGTAAATAGGTGTAGGCATTTGTTTTTGTATGTACACTTGGAGGCAAAGAAACTGAGCCACTAGCTTTGTTTTTTTTTTATTTTATCATACTCTCTATAATTTAGTAAAAATAGAAGTCCTTTTACTACAAACTGCTCTCAATTTAAAGGTAACTAAATTGCCTTTTAGAAGACATATATTACCAATCGGGTACTTTCCTTAACTCGTCGAGTACCGGTTTTATAGACACAATTAAAGAACAATAGGTCGCGGTCACTGGTGACCGCTTGGTGTTTGACAGATTAATCAAAAGTAAATGTTTTGGACCGTTCAATACAATAAAATATTAAAAAATAATCACTCTTTCATAAATTGATTTTATGGCCAACTTAATTTTAGTATTTTTCTAGCAAATTTTTAAGTAATAAGTTTTGTAATCTGTTTTTGACACTAAAAAATGTGACGTCACAATACGCAATAGTGTAACATTCATAGAAAAAACAGTTCAAAAAAAGTATTGAATTTGACTAGTTGGAAAGTACCAAATTAATAAAATACTTAAATATTTATCAAGAAATGAAAAAAAATATGCTAGTGGCTCTTTTTCTTTGCTCCCAGGTGTATATTTATTGTTACACCACTCTCTCACTCTCTCTCCACATTTTCTTTTGTCATTGTGTTTCACTGTATTTGTATTTTTATTTAAATTTTTGTAATTTATTAATCTTTTTGTTTATTTATTCAATATCTAATTTTGTAATAAATATTTGTGAGAGAGGACATCAAGTTCCGTAAGCCTAGCTTGAAAGTCAGGGACTTCATAGGAATGTTCTAGCATTTCTTTTTGTATTTCTTTTAGTTACTGTTTAGTAAAATAGGTAGTTATAAAGTTGTTAAATAGTTATAGAGTTGTTTTAATATACTCCTTCCCGTAGAAAAAATAGTTGAAAAGATTTATACAAGTACACAAAGCACATGAACATTTCACTAGTTATGTTGTAGCTACAAATAAAGCTCCTTATAAAAAGAGTCCATAACAGTAAGAGAACTATCATACCTAAGACATTTCTTTCAAGAAGGACCTATAATACTATTGTCAATATTCATTTCCTTCCCACTACAGGAACTATTAAACTATTCGAAACGAGTAGGTACGCGTTTTGCGCTCCGATTGGCCGGCTCGAATGAACCGACCAATCAGAGCGCCGAACGCGTACTCGTTTCGAATACTTTAAACGTAAAACTCGTACTAACGCCTCTGAATTGGGTACTTGCCAACTAGTCAAATTCAATCCTTCCCTGAACTGTCAAAAACGACAGTTTTCTATGAATTTTGTACGAGATTGTGTATTGTGACGTCACTTTTTTTTGCGTTAAACAGCTTACTCATATCTTATTAAATCGCTGAAAAAATACTAAAAGAATTTAGTATAAAATCAATAAATGAAATTGCGATTATTTTTAATATTTTATTGTATTGAACAGTTGAAATAATTTATTTTGGATTAAGGAAAGTACCCAGTTACATAATATGTATTTGAGGATTTTTTTTTTAAGGGCGGAAAATCATCGGTTGACCGCTCCCGCTTAGGTGAGGCGGAAGGGAGTGTCAGACTCTTACTGACTAAAAACCACCCCGTTCCTTCTCCTGCACGTCGACCGGAGCTCGGTTACCCGTTAGGTTCTCCGCGACTACATTTGAGGATAGGAGTGGGCAAAATGTTTGAAACAATCAGAATAGTTATTAAAATATTTTATTTCACATATAATTTCATGAAATGTTTAAAAGTATAGTCAACTGTTATTTTAGAATAGGGGAATAAGACTAGATAGTAACTGCAGGGAATACTATTAATTTGAGATAGGCATCTAGGTAGACAAAATGGAATGTTAAATTAAAAGCATGAAAATAAAAAAATAACAAAATATAAAATTATACATCTACTAAAAAACTAAAAACTAGAATAAAATTGATAAAAACATAAGGAATGTCATCTTTGAATGTATTATACAATAGTCGATTTCAAGTACCATGATATCATTTATACGCCTCAAGTTTTGTGACTAGATGTCCTTAAACAATTTTATAGTTCCCATGTACGTAATATACATATAACATATATTTATTTTTATAAAAAATATAATTTACGCTCACTGAGCCGTGAGTAGAGCACCACACATCACCTTTCATACATAAATATCATATATATATTTCTAATCACTTCATTGTTGATGAAATCAAAACAAAATGCATTATAGAGGTTTATAAAAAATAGGATAAAAACAATTATTTAATTCCCTGTTTCATTCAGTGAGTAAAGTCCACCACGAATGGAAGTCACCTACATCTACATACATCCCTCACTTTAAAGCTTGCTGTATTTTGCTTACAATCTACATTACATGCCAACCATTAGCAATGAATGAAACAATATCATTATTTTCATTAAATTATCATGGTAAAGGATTATAATAAATAATCCTACAAACATTTGGAGATTATTACATTTGACACAGCCAACTTAGGGATTGTTTTCGTAATTATATTTCTTTAAACTCAATCTTTAGAAGTCTGACAAATTTAGCCTAACATAGAACATGGTATTTAATACTTCCGTACATACAATTAATTGATATTATTACGTTTGACAAAATTTATTTTGAATACTATGTGTAAAAGATATTCAATATCAATACTTCACATTAATTCATTTCGTATTAAAATTAGGTCTACTAAGTAACGACATTTAAATTGTCATTGCGCTTGCACTTCGAAATTCGAAATGTAACAACGGACTTTTCCAAAGTTTAAAAATCATGCAGGCGCATAGACAATGTTTATAATCTCTGGCGACGATTGTACACATTTTTTTGTTATAATTTAAATTAATTTTCCTTAAAATAATAGCTTTACTCTTATGTACAATTCTTTCTAAGGCTGCCTAGTTAGTAGTCAGCCGATTTTTCCGTCATATATTACACAAGCCTTAAATTAATGATTTTAGAAACATCAAAATTACTCTTCATATATTTTTTTAAACCGAGATACGATATATTTTTATAGCACTTTGACTAAGAATTCCTGCCTGTATCTTGTGAGTACACAAAACAAATATAAAATGTGACAGGAACATGACTTAGCCAAACTAAGTTAGGAAGCAACACCTATTTACATGAAGTGATCGTGATGCTATATTCGAGTTGTACTTTACTTCCACCATATAGCAAAAATCTACGTACAAATTCATAACAAATGTAGGGAGTATACTGTATCTAAAACCAGTAACATTAGGCTGTATCCAGTGCCGGATTAACCACGTGGTAAGAGTAGTATGAGGGCTATAGCGTATGGCCTCTAAAGTTAGTACCTAATGTCTCTTGTCAAATTAGCTGAAATATAATCATCATTTGAAAATTAAAAATTTAACAGTTATAGGAACAAGACCTTTAGCTTCGTTAGCGCCATCTAGCAAAGCAAAAGACCCTCAGTACTACCGACCCCAAAACACCATAAAACTTATAAGATCGAGGGGGCCTTAATTAGAATTTGCTACGCGTGTCGCGCATGTTTAATCCGTCACTGGCTGTATCGTCTGTTCAGTCGTAGTGAAGTCCATTATCTGCAAGAGCGTGGGTGGTTGGTGATGACTTGTCGTCGGCGTCAATCGCTAGGGCGCGTGCGCGAGCTCTAGCGGCCCATTCAACACGGCAGAAGCACGCTGTACCTAGTGTCGCTAGGACGCCCAGAATCATCAGCTGTACGGAGAGCAGCGCCTTTGATGAGTAGAAGAAACATGCTGCCGCTGCTAGGGACTGGAAGTTAGGAAAATAATTATTAGAAGATGCTATTTATGAAGAGCAACGACGTCGTACTATGTAAACGTTAAAAAACCTTTTGCATAAATCAGGGCGTTACATTGTACAGTGCCATAATGTGCACCTCTGCCTACCCCTTCGGGGATAAAAGGCGTAATGTTTGCATTTGATTTTTTGGTATTGTATGCAGCGCTAATCAATTGTTTTATAATAATTAATTACTCATAACATAATAGTAGGGACCTAAAAGTTTATCGATCCTCTCTACGACCTATTTGTATAACACTAGTAAGAGCCCCGAGCCCCAAGCGTCAATTTAATTTATTATGCACCTTTTTTAAATGTACCTAGGTCACATATTTGCTTATCATGCGATATATGTAGTTACTTAGTATTACATCCTCTTTTATTTAACTTCCGTGCGGCGAAGGTTATCTCTACAGGTCCTGATTGGCAACAAAACAAGTATTTTCCTCGTATAATTCACTCACATAAATAAACTATTGAATAGTCTATTGTTTATTAAGATTTATATATTAAGTGACGTAAGCAAAGATAAGTTTTTTTGAGGAATCAAATGAATGAATTATTAATAGATATTATTATTTCATTCTTGACTGTCTCATTGGCCGAGTGGTTGCATGTGCGACTGCCGGGCAAGGGTTCGATTCCCGGGTCGGGCAAAGTATTTCTGGTTTTTTTTTTCAAAAAATCTTAGTAGTAGCACGGAATCTGGAATTGTGTCCGATATACATAAATAGTGAAAAGTGGGTGTTACATTATACAGTGGCATAAAGTGCCGTAATGTACAACCTCTGCCTACCCCTTCGGGGATAAAAGGCGTGATGTTATGTATGTGTTATTTCATTCTTTTATTTTCGAACAACTTTACTAAAGGATCGACAGAAACGTTTATAACAAATATTGTTTCCAAAACTTCCAAAAGTACTGTTACATATTGGTAGTAATGCAAAAGTCAAATACACACTAATAAAGGCATCACTGGCACTGAGTACTTTAAACATGATCTTCATAAACAAATTTACTTTTCATTAAAACCTTGCACTTAATACTTGCACCAAAAATGAATGTTGAACACAAAGATCTCACCTGAGTAAATTTAAACAGTGCGAAAGCTGAGGTACTGTTGTCGAGTAGTTGCCTCCCAAAATCGAGTATATTTGAGTATTGAAGCACGCGTCCCGAATCCTAGTAGAAAACTGCAGAACATCGCTAGTTGCGGTGAAGGTGTGATGTAGGAAACCTCGTTGGTGTCTCCAAATGGCGCCACCGTCGGCAAATTGATGAAGATTAGGAAGAAGCTGCCTAAATGAATGAAGTAGCCCATGATGACGATCGGGTCGCGACCCCAACGAGTTGTTTTTGCGCCGAGGATACCGAAGAGAGCACCTCCTGTAAATGGGAATTGGTTTCCTTATAAGGACTCGTATAAAATGATATTTGTGTGCATTGACATAAAGTTCAGATTATATTGCATACAACAACATACATTATGATTTATCTACACTAATAGTATAAAGAGAAAATATTTGATTTGTTGTTTGTTTGTTTGAATGGAATCTCCTCCGAAACTACCGGGCCGATTTAGAAAATTATTTTACCGTTGTATTCCTACATTATCGATGATGAACATATGCTATATTTAATAAGATAGAAAAAAGAGCGCGTATGAAAATTTCGATAATGTAACCCGATGTGTAAAAATATTACCAAAAATCTCTTTACATTGCTTAAGCCTTTGACTGCCAAGCGGACGAAGTCGCGAGGAACACTTAGTAACTTATACATAAGTACAGGTATGTGTGTCAACACATTATTTATCTATGCTTGTCTTATGGCTAAAAACAATTAGGTAAGTCTAGTTCAAACCGAATTAATATCTTTAATCTTTATAGATACACGTAATTCTATTGCCCAATACAAATATTGCTAAACCAAACTGGACAATAAAATGTAATTAATTAGTTTTATCTAGAGATTAATTTAAAAAGGTTTTGTTGTAACGCGTGTTGATAAATTAATAGATATGTTGGTAATTATTTATAACAACTGTAATTTTAACAAACAACATATTGTACTTGTGTACTAGTAGTTAAGTTTGAACTTTATTGACGCAGTGTTAAGGGTGAAAATGCTCAAACAAATTTTGTCGCACTTATGCATAGTTAAATATTCTTAACATTCATGTATACTATACTTAGATAAATATGTACATATTGATCTACAGTACACCTCAAACAACTATAACCACTCGAAAAATGACTTTCTGCTAAGTGATGGTATATAGTTATTTTAATCAAGCCTTGTGCAATAGACGTTCAACTCTTTCACAAAGGCAATAAAGTTGAAAATCTATACAACCACATTAGTAGCTCAACATGAACCACAAACAAATAAACAATAAAGAACATGTGACGTCACACTCACCGAGCACTTCTCCCATACCAATGAAGACGCCTGACAAGCCCACCAGCTGTTTAGCATTCTCGCCCATAGACAGTGTGAAACCAATGCTCGGGCTGTACACGCCACTGAAGAACGACAGTTCCACGCCTGGAAATAGGAAAAAAAATCTATATTTATTTAATTATTTATAATATAATACAACCAGTAGTTGCTACATTGGGTCTTATATCTAAGCACTTACATTGTAATATATCTACTACATACGTACTTTTATAATGATTTAGACACCACTGACAAACAGTGAAGGAAAACATCCTGAAAACCTGAGCATATTTCTAATAAGTTTGAAATCGTCGACCCGCATTGAGCAAGCATGGTGATTAATACTCAAACCTTCTCCGTGTGAGAAGATCTTTGGTCAGCAATGGCCACTTATAGGCTGTTGATGATGACTTTAAAGCCTATCATAGTCTGCATCTTTTTTTTAAATAATAAAGTGTTTCTTTTTGTATTGCCACAATAACAAGAGGCCTGATAGTATCAAAAATTGAACCATCAGTAATGCATTAGCTGCCTTGAAAATCAAATTGGACAACTCTTGATCTCCTCACCTCCACTTGACCGATGCAAGCAATTATTATTATTATCAAAACTTCTTAAAAGCCTAATGTCGTCGGTTAGGCTTCTTATTTACTTACAAAATTCGACTGTACTACTAAGAAGTTAACTGTTAAAAGAACATAAAGGTTCTCTATTTTGTACAAAGGAAAATTAGCCTTACGTACTATACCTCTACAATAAGTACTATAGGTAGGTTTGTTATGGAAATGTTATTAAAATGTCGCGTACTATTTGACATTTACGCGTCATGCAGATATATTGGGTGAACAGGTTTGTCGATGCGCTTTAATGAATCGGAGCAAACATTTGTATTGTACTCTTTAAACGAACCTTTGTTTACGGAACTAAATACACGTCATAATACAATATACTTCACTTATTGCATTTCTACATTAACTCATTGGATAATTTTAGCTCTTTGCTACTTGTCTAACAATACAGAATAACTGATATAGTTTCTGAAACTTAATAAAAGGTTGTTGAGAAATCATTCTTTCTGTACATCATTTTTACTAAACTAAACTTTAAACGTTCCAAATTTCATACGGTCATCTAAATAATTTGCTTGGAAAAGGATACACATTTTCCTTAATATTTATCGACATAATCGAAGGCCTTTCTCCACAAAATTGTAAAGGATTCCTTTAGAAATCACGTTGGAATTGATATTCTCATTAGTATTCAGTGAGGGTAGGAATGTAACAGGGAGTCAATGATCCCAGATTCTTGGAATAATCATCCAAGAAGTAATTTCACTAGGCTCTGTAGGTCTTTGTTAGTGTTAACTAAAATCTAGTGGAGTAAACTAATACTGGGATTCCCGACACACAATACATGATGTAATCAAAGGTCAGTCTACTGATTACCTCCCATACATACAACAACAATTTAAATGCTTATATTAAATAAACTGTAGATATGAAGAACATGCAGACTCCATGGTCAAGTGTTGGCATGTGCATTTTTTTAAGGGGTAGGTAAATCATCGAATGACTGCTCCCGCCTGGGTGATACGGAAGGTAGTGTCAGACTCTTACTGACTAAAAACCACCCCGTTCCTACTCCTGCACTTAGAGACGGAGCCCCGGTACCCCGTTAGGTTCTCCGCGGCTCCGTATCGGCATCAGCCCTATTGGGCCCCATCCGTGGTGGTCTGATGGCTCTTTGAGACGCGCGCGGAACGCGACGCCCCATACGCTTGGGCAGTGTTAACATGCGTAACTACCATTAATCAGGGTCTGTGCTGTGCTTAATTACTATGTTGATCACAGGACCCTGTCCGCCTTAGCACTAAAATTCTCTGTATTCTGTTTGAGAACATAACTCCGTTATCTATTAAAACGGGATTATGCACATAACTGCCTGGTCTACGTCCTAGGAAAATGACAGTTTTCAATTTCAAGTTTTCATGTTATATAACTCACCAGTATAAATGAAAGTAACACTGAGCAACAACATATCGCGGGTACAGAACAACTTCAAAGCGCCTTTGAACGCATCCATGGGACTTTCTTGCACTTCATGGGTTACTATCTCGCCCTGGAAACAAATTACTACATGAACATTATTCGAAACAAGTCTTTAAATCTTCCGTATTGTAAGGGTCAATGGCCTATCAGAATCAGGGCTAAAGCCTTGACTTGTAAATATTCAATTATGGCGATTTATTAGCTCCACTACCATACGTAAGTTCCCGTTGACCCTCAATGAAACCACCTCATAACATTCCTCTTCAAAGAAAACACGACCAAGGGAATCCAGTCGTGGGTCATAAAATTGTTGATATCTCGAATAATTTGTATTTGAATAATACCAAAAATAGTGACAAGGTAGATTAAAATGTTATTAATATATTATGCGCTAGTTGACCATGGTTCAGTTGCATTGCAATACATGCATTATGTCAACGCGAGAGGGTGCGGTTTACCTTGGCATCTTCGATGTTGGGCATGCGCTTAGCTGGTCTTAGAAGCATGAGGAAAACCAAACCAACGGCGCAGACTCCAGTCAAAGCACCGAACACAACGTTCCTTGTCTCCGCATCAATCTGAGTCTTGCCTTGGAACTTAATGAATACGAAAAGATTTCCGAAAAACATGCTGCAAAGAGAAACCATTCAATTAACGATTTTTAAAATTGGCGAGCTGAAACATTATACTCGTGTCGTATGTCGGCATCGAGTATGAATTACATCTAAACGTTAATTGATCAATTTATATGCTAACAAGATTTATTATACTTGATTTTTAACAACTTTTCTAACGATAATGAACCAGAATATAATGATTGGATTGGAAATGAGTTTTTATTCTGACAATTACTGCAGAATTTTATTTTCATAAGAGAGAAAGTAGCATAGTAACTCTATTAACATACCTGCACTGTAACATAGCCCAGAAGACTCCTGAGTTCCTGGATATAGTATCGGCATCGCTGTTGAGTGTCAGATAGTTGCCCTGGCCGGTCCATATAGCAGCTGCGCCGGCACCAATCAACACGCTCGCCACGTACAAGAGCCACGTGCGAGGGAACAAGAAAGTCACGATGAAAAACCTGCAAAAGATTATCAGCATCAATTTCGCTATCCCATTAATCGCATAAATGTATTTGCAACTCATCCATGTTAAAGTTACTGAACTATAGATATTGATTCCTTTTTACTCCTTCATCCGAATTTTAATTCTGCTGTTTTAGGTGTAAGTATGTAGGTACATAAAAGATCAGTAACGTGAAGCTAGATTTATATTGAGGATCCAAAAATTTCCGAATAGAATTTCTATCTTCAAAAACAATTGAATACAAGTCTGAGAGCGGCATCCTTCATTGTTCAGCAGTTGACGTAAGATTTGCTAATCCAATTTCACGAGCATTACAACATAATGGGACAGACCCAAACGAGACGAAGGCTTTTAAATTCTAAACGAAAGTTGAAGTCTGGCAGAATGCCATATAACTAGGTTTATAAGCTTTAAATCTGATGCTATCCAGTGTCAGGTAAACATTCACAATTACAAAATTGCTTCAGACAACCAACGAGGACGAAAACCTATCCCTATTTGAAAAAAATCCCGTAATAGATTTTAGATTAGGATAGCTTAATGTGCTGGCGTCTGGAAATTATGTCCAATGTCCACTAGAGTATAAAACAACTATCGGTTACGCAATCTACATTACATAGTTCGGATGACATGGTCGCTAGCTTGCCTCGAACTCAGGTAGGCTACGATAAATCTGGCTTGTTGCAAATGTCTGAATAATAATGGCCGACTGCTTTAGTAGACACATTTAAGGAAAACTTGAACTTTGAAAGCAAGAATCTTGCCAATGCCTTGTAAGGTGACTACGATGTTAGGCTTAGACTAGAAGATAACCGAGATGCAATAGGTAATTAAATAAGTATATACTATATACCTTCTGTTTTGTTATAAAGTTTCATCTGTCTGATACGCACTAAGAAATATTATCAAAAAAACAACAGTTGAACCTACGTCATCACACCGTACCAAATCGATTACAAAATTAAACTTTATGGCAATAGGCACAAAGAAACTGCCACAATTTGGATGAATAACTGTTGAAACCACACCAGATAAGACATTTAATTATTTTTTAATTTTCTATCTATACAGATACATAAATGCAACTTTGCTTTCGTGGACAATTTAAAATCAGTTACAGAAATAATTGAGCAACCAAACCATTCTTTATTGGAAAAAGTAAAAAAACTATTCTTGAAACACACGCTGAGTTCGATACAGCCATTACTATTTGACCAGCATTATTGATTTGATAAAGCCTCGCACACACTTAACGATCATAAAGAGATACCTCTAATTGAGGGTGACATTAGACGTCAAAGTAATAATCATGCTAGGATCGATCCGATTGACAATCCATTACCAAAAGACATCAGACACCAAGAAACAGATATTAATCGTTGTGTTTTGACACGGACGTTAAATCACATAGGACACTTCCAGTCTCCAGATGGTTAATACCTTTATCTCTGTAAATAGCAGATGCTATAAAATACATTAAACAGTTGCGGTTACGATCTGATTGTGTAACTAACGAACACACCTCCAAGCCTCTAAACATCACATAGGTAGTGTAATGTGGGATGCTTGTAAAGGTTACATCCATACACGATTCTCGCTCATTTCAACTTAAACGAGAAGAACAAAGGCGTTTCATTTCCAAATAAAGTAAGTTTAGTGGAGATAGGACATGCTAATGCTGTAAAGTCCGCATTAGGCTTGTTTTGGAATATATTAGAGACAAATTACTTAAGGATCCAAAACACTTATTATAAGGTGCAGGCAACGCTGATATCCTTATAATTCATTAATTTTGGCGACTTAGAACTAAGCCTTATTAAACACAAATGGGCGGTGACTGGTAAGTTGATTTAAATAAAATACCCAATAATCCCTGATCATCGATTAAGTACTCAATCAAGAACTTCTCTTATCTCAGACTATAATACGAAACAATTACATACATGGTCATAATATCAAGAAGCCTAAAAAACGATGTGCTACTAGTTTCCTGCACAACACGTGCCCGTTGTTGCAAAACAATCACAACACGATTCCTATGCGATTTGACCTCGATTAACGATGAACCGGAAGAAAATAAAGATCATTATCATTTTATCATTCACATGTCGTAAATCTTTGAGGAAAAATGAAAGGGTGTTGCGACAGACGAGTGCGACAATTTGCACGCTACCAGTTGAACGTTAGTCGCATTTTTTGTGACGAAATTTTATGTAGCTAGCCAAATTGGCTAGTTTATAGTTGCTGTAACTGCTATTAAAGATAATAGCTCTCATTTATTAAAATATGTACACATGTGAATTACACACATACCTACAATTCATAATATGCACGTGGTACAGACGCCAGCATATTACGTTACCTAAACCAGTCACATTTCTTTAAAAGATATGCAACTTAATTACACAATAATAAGGTCGACAATTCTATTAAAGGTCATTAGAATGGGGTAGCTCGATTTGATGGTGTTAACACGTCACGTTTGGTGTCATGTACTCTGCTCACAGTTTAAAAAGTTATTTGACTGATAGGCATTGAATTGCGTAAATGGTGTTATAACAAAGCGTCATATCTCATATAGGATACTACCTACTTACTATTGTTGCACATATATATTTTCTAAAACTGTATAAGTAATCGTATCCGTGTCGTAGTTACAATTAAATCTATTAAGCATCTACCAATAAACTCATTGCATACATATCCGGCCGTAAAATTAGCTAGTTTTTAGTATAAGCATTTTTGAGGAAAAATATGCTTTCATTGCACAAAAAAGTATACTCGGAGACATTTTGCAATAATGAAATTATTTAGGATCACCAAGAACTAGCTTGACAACATAATATGTAGTTATAATTTCAGCGAAAACTAGTTTTCAAATGAGTTCAGTGCACCTTCAAATCAAGTCAAGGTCACGCAAGCGCAGTAGTGATTATGATGATGCAATTAAATTGAATCAAACGCGTAACTCAACCAACATCGAAAAAAATCTAACACGTAAATAATTTCATATGTTACTCGGTCATTTTCGGTGACGACTATGCAACAAATAATTTCGATTAATTCTAAACAGTTTAAGTGCTTGTAAGCCGTTCAGGCTTTTAGTTAAAAATGTTAATTGGACTAACAATTTTAAACAAGGTTAATAACTTAATAGCCTCACTTTGGAAACTGATAAAACTAAGTTCGGCGCAGAAAACTCAATCTGATATTTGACGGAAATTGAAAATATAATAACGTGACTAACAATCTTAAAAATAATAATAATTGTGTTTTTGTCTAGCGTTGTTTATAGCTATAAATAAATAGTTTAATATGTTGTTAAAATAAATGAAAGGTTGAAACTATGCAACAAAGCCGGCGGGCAACCTTGAGGGGGCGTGATCTAGTCTAGTGAAGGTTTGTAAGCGAAAATATTTCGATATACACCGACTGAGGAATGCATGTGCGATAATATAACGATTGGAAACCACCTGCTAAAAAATATCTATTTTTTCTGTATTGAATGACAACCGAGTCTCCAATATATTATCTGTGACGACGCATTGAAGTTTTAACGACACATGACAGCAATAAATACAAACAAATGCAACATAATTACTATATTTACTAAGTATTAAAGAATAAGAAGGACCAAATTAAAAGTACCCTTAACCGAAGAGCATGCACGAAAGTCAGATAATGAACATATATGTTCCGACACAAAATCCTACATTGCACATGTGAAGTTTACATGCGAATTAACATGGATAGAAAATCCCAATGAACAACTGATGGGCAGAAAACCCATCACTCGCCTGATCGGAAAGTCTTCCTTTTCTTAGGGAACTTTAGTGTGTTTCCTAAATCTATATAGAATAGTGAGTGATAGAAAATAACAAAATAAGTCAGACTAAATACTTAATACAAAAACCATTTGATGAATCAATGTGTACAAAACCGATAATCTCCCAAAAACGACGTGTAAGTAGATTAAACTTAACCCAGTTACGGTAATCCCTTGTATCTTCATAATACAAATGTTATCATATGGATTACTATTAAATAAATCAATGAACAAAATGCGATGGGTTAATTCCCTTATCATTATCACAAATCATACAATTAAAACGAAATGCTTAGTTTTATAAAAGGTTCATCGAACACACATGGCCGTCACAGACGGAACATCTATTTAGTTTACAATCAAATGTTCTAGTTATCATTTCTGCTGGAAAATTGCCATTATTTGCACGACAAATGTAGTGTAATTAATGGAGTACCTAAAGAACAATGTATAGTTATTGCAGTAAACAATGTTTATCGTATTCCATACATTGCAATAGATGTTCTTCACATATTACGTAGATACACGAACAAAGAACTATGTAAAATGTACTGATAGATTTTATTGTCTCTCATGAATTCATGATATTACTATTGCTGGGTAAAAACGAAGTAACAGAGTGAAGATAAAGAATGTATTATTATTTATCAACGTGTTTCCCTTACGAATGTTTTCTATTTACATCTCCTCATAAATAAATGTGGTTATTTTATATTTTGGTCACTTCAAACAAATGCCAAGCCACTGTATCAAACATAATTTTAGAAGATGTTTTGAGTTAAAAGTAAACATCAAATAAAATATTACTTTTTATAATAACTATCGTGAGACATACTAAATTAACTAAAAATCCTGAATCCTGAAAATTAATAAAAACATTAAAATAACGAGAAAAGCTCTACTAGTTTCGAACCACAGAGGGGATCTTCCTCATGAGCAGCGTGCGCAGTCGCGGCGATGTCACGCAGCCTACTCGTAGGCTACGATTTTTAGTAGTTTTCACATGAGTTACCCGCGATTTTAGTTAAAATATTTTTTTAACCAAAGCCTACGTCACAGACTTACAGATAAGGGCACGAAGAAACAGCACTGGGTCTTTTCCCCGTTAATTTTAAAATTGGCTCTACCGAAGTTTGAACTAGATTTGGACCAATTCAATGTCAGAATTTTACGTGCAACTGCATCTGCCCTCCACAAACCTTTCTCTAGGAAAGACGTCTCATACCCGGTTAGACTTAGTCTTTTTCGCTAATAAACCAAAACTGCTCCAAAATATAAGACCAAAACCCAGAGAGCGAACTCTTCGACTATTCATCAAATGTCGATAAAAGACAGTGAATGTCAGAAGGTATTTGGTAATTGAATCGTAAGTAAGGAGGAACAAAGTTAAACAAAGAGTTTACTTAACATTCACGACACCACTTCAACGTAACGGCAATGGATAGTTCTGATGCTCCACTACGTCCAGTTACATTTGTATTACTTTATAACGCAACTTTTACTATTGAAAAGTTCATATTTCTCATCCTATAAGAACTATTTTATGACTGTTTGTCCCTAGAAGAGACCAAAATAAGTACAATGGAATATACATTAGCTCCATTACAACCTCATTTGACGATTATATGATGAACAATGAAAAGAACAAGCAAAATACTGAAAGTGCAACAAACATGAAATGTAAATTAAACATTATTGTATTATTTGATCATGATATTTTTAGATTTTATCTAAATAACCGCATACAAAACATGGGTTGATAAGACGAACGTGCAGACGTGCTAAGATTTTTTGCTAACAATAATTTCCCTTTACTAAAATACCTAAGAGGCCTAACTAAATTATCTTCATAGGCCATATTATGTTATTTGAAACCACAATAGCGTAACGTACATACATTTTCTAGAACATTACTCAAACTACACGAAATCATGCAATTCCATAGTGAAATTACTACGATGTTAGTGTCAGCGCGGGCGCACAAGTGTTCGCACGACTGTGATAATAAATACATAGTTTACGTTAGACATACGTACCGCGGCAACAAACAAATGAGCAGAGAAAGTTCGCATAGATTTTATGAGATTTTTAACATCTTTGTTACGTAGACGACTAAATCTAAAGTACTAGATATTATGGAGAGAAAATACTTTATTGTTTTATCGCATACTGATAAACAAGTTAACGTGAAACCGACTATAATTATTTTTTCAAGTATAAACCGCATTGCTTACAGACGAAGTCTCAAAACTGCATTGATTACCGACGAAATTCTATTTATTTATGCTATTAACAAATATTTCATACTACCTTCTACCCGCGACTTCGTACGTGTAAACCCGTTCATCCCGTTACCGTAGGATTTTCGAGATATCCTTGGATAAAAGTATCCTATGTCTGTCTCCTAGTTCAAAGCTATCTACCAATTTTCAGCCAGATCGATTCAACCGTTCTTGAGATATTCCAATTATTTTGACTCGACTTTAATAAATAAGTGAGAATCGTATATTAAACATTTATTCTATTCATAAATTCATAACAAATACCTAATCCGATCGGTAGATATAGCAAACAATTCTTCATGTGGTCATAGATTATTTAGAAATCACCAAAATATTGAACCGCTAAGGACCCGTTATCCAAACGTAGAAATGTTTTATGATATCCAAAAAACAATAACACACAAAAAACAACTTTCATTTTACGTTGACGTCATACAAATCTAATTTCATCATCGGATAAACAGTAAACAGAAACACACAAACAGACTTACGCACTTATTAATTCTTAAATCATATTTGGTTATAAGCTTAGGCTACTACGATTAACTGACTACGTTTTTAAAGCGCATGAAATTGCGGTTCGGACATAATGCAGCCACACACTCTAGGGATTTTATTTCCAAGTCATGCAGAAATAAATCGATTACAGTCGCATCAATATATAGAACTGACAATTTGGATATGGTTTATAGTTTTGTGCATGTCCTTTGTGCGTTTTACTGGAAAGACTCACGAGGAAAATTGTTATTTAATTTAGTCTAGGCCCCTTGGCCCCCTAATAATAACGAAGAGCGGTTTTGCTGCTACAACTTTAAAAAAAAAACATGGTTGAGCCTAGGCCGTCCTATTAACAACAAACATATTACATTGTGTATAGTTCATCATGAATTAATTAACGTAACGTTACGTCCATGTGTGTATGTATGATCTACAAACCCCAATAATGGGTACAATGACCTACAAATTGACAAATGATGGACATTAGCACCTAAGACTTTATAAAAAAACGTTGTATAATATTACATTCGTAGAACTTACATAACACTTTCAATTATTATTATTATACAATGTTACTTTAAACAGTTCTATACGAAGAACTATGAAGATAAGAAGTACTTTTGTGCAGAAAGCCATGAAGTTCCGTAGTTTTGTAACTATAGGACATGAAACAATTATATTATTTTTTATGTGATAAGCCGGTAAACGAGCAGATGGATCACCTGATGGTAAGACATCGGCATCGCTCATGGACACCTGGAACACCAGAGGCGTTACAAGTGTATTACCAGCCTTTTGGGGATTAGGAATTTGAGGAATGTCGGGGATTTCAGGGATTGGGGAAATTGGGGGTCGGGTTTGTCGGGCTTCCGGTAACCTTACTCACGCGACAAAACACAACGCAAACGTTGTTTCACGTCGGGTTTCTGTGAGACCGCGGTATCACTCCGATCGAGCCGGCCCGTTAGTGCTGAATCATGGCTCTTCCATACTTACTTCCACATTTTAACTAAATAACCAGTAAAAGTGAAGTGTCTAATAGAAACTTTTATTGGAAAAACCAATGATGATTCGACATAATAGATTACGTAGAAATCTCTCTCTTTAATATCACGAGCCTATCAGCCTATGTTCAATTGTTCATGTCTTGTAAGTGTCCATATTCGGAACAAAAATTTTAAAAATTGGTGCGTCGTTTTCGGCAATTTCAACAACAATTAACTCCATAAGTTTATCCAACTGTAGACAATATTATGAACAAAAGAAATACTTACAAATAAGTCAGTCCACCAATAAACATGGCTCCTCGTGGTCCTGTGATCGTGATGATGGAAGGCGCCATCCAGTTACATATGGCCAGCGTTGCGTAGATGATGGCCAGGGACGTGTAGCCATCTCCCGTGAATCCCGGATCATCGTGTGATATACTGTCTAATACTGTTTTCTGTGAACAAAACAAAATATTGATTTGAAAACTGTTTCACATTGGAAGGTCGAAATCGTGACTATTGAGCAACGTATGTCAAATTGGTAACAGTATGAACACTAGGACAGGTGAGGTCCTTGTAACGATCTTATTACCTTCAAAGAGGTTAAATAAAAGGATAATGAGTGATAAGCACAGGCATAATAACTCGTCGAGTACCGTATTTATAGACACAATTAAAGAACAATAGGACGCGGTCACCGGTGACCGCTTGGTGTTTGACAGTTTAAAGAAGGTGATAAGAGTGTGCCTATGCTCCTGGGCAATAATGGTGTAACCTATTTTTTATGAGACGCACTTAAAAGTTGTGATAAAAGAATTTAAAAACTCAAGCATATTGCTTTAGGTGTGACCACAACCACAACTTCTAGCCATGATCCATAATGGATATATTTTTCGGATTTCTAATAGAAAGTTTCGAGAAAATCTAAGTCTGAGAGTAAAGTACTCACATTTCAAATACCTGTTCAAAGGAATTTACTTTGATGTTCCATTCATTGGAGTATACTTCGCCCTATTTATAAGCACCCTATTTATACCTAATGGTTTATGAAGAGTGGTAGCAACTGCATTTGATCCTGGATCGGGCATACTGGGATTTTTCGGTTTAATAGTTTTGCAAGGCTGTCGAGATGTATGGCATGACAGAAGACTCATTACAGAGGACTCATAATAAGTATAAAATGACTAGCGAAAGGACGTTACAAGATAGGTAATATGTCGGCCTCTGTCTACCCCTTCGTGGAATAAAATGTAAGTAGTGGCAATAACCTAGTTTAGCAGGAAAATAGCTACTTAGCTTTAGCTGTACACCTCAACCTAAATCTTTCGCAAAAAACACGATATTACGAAACATCTTCAAAAGCCTAGGATAAAAACAAATGGGTACGACTTTAGACAAGTTAAACTGGTATTACAAGGAAACTATTCAAACTGCGGTTAGGTAACTAGGTACAAGAGGCAACTGTATAGTATTATCACGAGATAGGGATCGATTGCCTAACACCGGTAATTCATAAAGTACCTCGTGGCCCGCGGGTCTAACGGCGCAGAGCACTCCGTTATTGGGCATCGTAGTTTTAACATAGCACCACGCTTTTAATCCTCAAAAGTGCGCATTAAAAGTAACATCCAGTTTTGTAGAGCCTGGACTTGAGTCCTATGTAATAGTCCCATAGTTACCTAAACTGAACGCTAGACTAGCATTGGAGCTATTACTGAGAAATTTCTAAAAACCAACCGCTGACTGAAAAGTTCCAAATCCTAATCAAACTTTGCTCAAGTACGGATTGGCCTCAAGCCCCCTTGGTAGGCAGTCGTATGTGTGAATGCGATCGTTCTAATAACGATAACTACATTTTTATTAGACTGCTACTGTTACAAACAAGACATCGTAGTCTTAGATAGCCTATAACCTTCAAGAATTGACAATCACGTGCAGAATTCTTCGTAAATTCGATAGCTTGTAGTGAGACTTTAATAAGTTCAAAGTCAAAACAAAAAGTATCCGGTTTAATTGATAGTAAAAACGTACGAGCCTCCTATCTGTTCACTATGTAGATATTATAAGGTAGCTTGATGAGCTGATTAGTTGTACTTACAATGTAGTAACAGATAAGTGAAACAGTGTAACTTGTAGATTGAATGAATGTATACGAGCTGTTTGAAAATGAGATACCTATTGTGAAATTCGAAAAAATACTTCTTGATAAATTAAAACTGTACAGTTATCTAGATTAAGAAATTGACCATGCACAGCTTAATATGTTACGAAATTGGGTACTTGTCAACTATCAAATCAATACTTTTTTTGAATTGTTTAAAAAGTCAGTTCTCTATGAATTTTACGATATTGAGTATTGTGACGTCACTTTTTTAGTGTCAAACAACATACTTATTTCTTAAAAATTTGCTCAATAAATTTAAGTTAGTCATAAAATCAATTAATGAAAGTGTGATTATTTTTTAATATTTTATTGTATTGAACAGTCGAAATAATGTATTTTTGATTAAGGAAAGTACCCAATTCTAACCCATTGTCGATAGTGAAACCACAGAATAATAGTACAAGTAGTGAAACGATATTTTGTCCAATTTCTAAAAGAAATCACGCAAAATTCATAGAAAAAATATCAATTATGCTTATGAGGTAGACCTATTACGATTTAATTCAGATTTCTTCTAATCTTAGCCAGTGCAGCATTAAATCAACATAATGTATATTATAGTATTGACATAAAATTAATTAGTGTCACAAACGAATATTTATTATCTTAGAGTGGCCTTGATACAGATTCGCATAGTCAAAAGATCAAGAACGATCACAGTTCTTGACATTGTAAGACGTGCATATACGACGTATACTTATTCAACAATGATGATTAAATACATCAGAACTATTTACTTTTCTCAAACATTTCGAGAATAAAGCCGTTACATAAAAAAAAGATAATTGTATTTACTTTTATGTGATAATAAACATAACAGGGCTTATATGAACCGTTATATTGTTTTCTTAAAACGAAACCATCTTCTCTGATTTCAATGTACTTTTCCACTTCACATAAATTCGATATTTTATTAAATTTATAATCTCCTTGCTCCCAAAAATATTGAGCCTCCCATACAAGTCCTACTTTCGAAACCAGAAAGTGTAGGATGTTCGCTAAAACTGTTGTACGTCGATACTTAAAAAGTATCATCAGGACAAGTCCATTAAGTGTATAAGTTCTTGTCATCTGTAAACAGCTAAAATGTCGCAACACACCGAGGCGACAATACTTTCGATTTCGAAATTTCCTTTTTAGTATCAATAAACTAAATATTCATCTGCATTTGGATACATAAGGATACCAATAAATATTGGCAAAACACTACTTTATAAGGAGTGACTGTGATTTTATTAACATTTCGTAAAAGACTAAGAAATAAATAAGTAGGTGTCAAGATTTCACTGGATGCAACCATATTATTAGCATCCTTGTGTTCATGAAGTTCATTTTGTCAGAGAAGTTGTTTCCAACAGTTTCACATTTCTGCAGAACAGGACCTTCGGAACATTGATTTTGAGTACTAGTAATGTATCGCCAAAAAACTCGTTATCTTTACGTAAGGAGGTCATTGAACGCTGACCATGTAAAGCAAGTAGGTACACAAATAAAATACGCGATAAAAACAACATAATCTGTTTACTAAATTGTCTTTTTCTCGTAATTGCGCGTGGATGCGCCACACAATAACGGAACCCATTTCAATCGTCACGATTCCAATTTATCTAGGAGGCTTTTATACTTTCTTTTGATGTAGAAAAAATAGTAATTTAATTAAATCCTGTAATTCTTAGCAATCCCAACTTATCAAACTGTTGCGATCAATTATACGTCACTTTTGACCTCCTCAATTATCTGAAAGCGACACATCATTGAAAAGGCCCTTGAAAATAAATATCTTTCCAGTAAATCTATCTGACCTAAATCGAGTATAAACAAATCCTTGGATTTATCGAATATAGACAAACAAACAATGATAAAGAATCGTTTTCATTTGTTGTGAATTAGAAAACAATTATAAACTTGATAAGTGGAAACTTTACACACCTACCTACTACGTAAGTGCAGGTATGAATAACATTTGCAGCATAAGAACTAAGCTTAAAGAACTAATTAGCTAATGGAACAATTTCATCCAGCCGTGTGTAAATAAATATTGCATCATTACACTAACAATATTTGGGGGCTTTTATTATTTTGACGAATTTGACGTCAATCATTTTAGCGCTCCCGGCGTCTCGGTATACTTTTGACCTTTGGGACACTACATTTTGGTATTTTTGTTTGCAATATTAAATCATGAAACTAAATTAATGATATTTTAGTACAGAATCAAACTAACAAAACGAGTCTTACGAGCAAACCGTACTCAATCAGAATTAAGTGCACATGCTTTCGCCTTGACTATGCAAAGGTGCTGTTTAAGTAGAATTATACACATCCACTTATAAAAAAGCCATTTCATGGAAAGTAAATCTTTATGCATATAAATAGAATGCATTATAAAGGAAAGTGATATCGATAGCTCTGTTATAAAGCATCAGGATGTAAACGACGGTTGCATTTAAATGAGCCTTTCTCCGGTAGAGCTGCGCAAGAGCAATGATCGAGCATCAACCCAGTTTCATGAATGATTGATTGATAAAAAGATTGACATAATTATTATCTAGTAGGTCAATAGCCCACCTTATATTCTTCAGTACGTACCGTTTGATATTGAATATTGAGTATTATTAATCAGCTCGTAATACTCGATTTTAGTGGAGCGTTAACAATGAAAATAATTGGCTCTGTCCACGGTAGAGTACGCGTAACACTTACGTAATAATTTTCAGGTCGTATCTTACACTTTCTATTAAGATGCTTAGTGCTGATATTGATTCATTGCAATTAGATGAGCGAATTAAGCGATGCTTTAACGTCCTCGACTGCTCTCAATTCTAAAATACTTAAGCATAATTTTAAAATGATTATGTTATCTTCACTAACGATATATTTACGGAACGGTTTATTATCATTGGTGGTAGTCCTTTAGTTCTAATTTGCTTCAAGACTTGGAAAAATTACCTTAACTTCAATTGAATTGATTTTTTTAAGGTGGGTAAATCATCAAATGACTGCTCCCGCCTGGGTGAGGCGAAAAACCACCCCGTTCTTTCTCCTACATGTCGAGCCGGAGCCCCGGTAACCCGTTAGGTTCTCTAATTGAATTGATGAAGATCGATAAATCGCTTGTCTAATAATAATTATTATAACTTCAAGTACTCTCATCAAAGTCTGATGCATTTTAGAAAAACTTATAATATCCAATTCTGTTTGTAGTTTGTTAAGGATAACATGATTGGATAACTAAGTATTTTATCAATGTGTGTACTTAACTAGACTACCTACATATTAATGTAGGTTAGCAAATATTTATGGCGTTATTTAAACTTGAAGGATCTAGGTCGGTTGTGGAGACAAGGTGTGACGGGAGTCCTTCGCCTTTTTAGTGATTTGGACGAATAAGGAATGTTCACACCTCGTAACAATGAAAGTTATAAAACTTGTATTATCTACAATTGACTCAGAATTAAAAGACAAAAATGTTGATAGGTGCTTCCGATTCCATTTGTCAATCAGCAAACAATTCTATGAAGCTCTCTATGACATTTGTAAATTGGAGACCCGTCGCACTAGGTAGTACTTGCACAATACCAATGCGAATCTCGGACGATGATCTCAATTGACAGCGTTACGTAAACCAAACTTAAAAGGTGTCTTACGGATATGCTTTTAAAGTGGATAATGTCATGGCAGCGGCGTTCGCTTATTAACGTCAAACATATCAATGTTATGCCCTTACGAGCCATAAATAAAATTAAATAATGTGCTTTTATCTGTTACTCAATGTGTTATGAAATAACAGCTATGTATGGTAGTGTCGCATCTCAGAGGGAGCATCCGTTTGCGTACATAATGTAGGTACATATGTACCTACGAACATCGATTGATAAATGTATTATTAGCCAACTTACAGGGTCCCAGACCCAGTCTACTCGAGTAACAGTTAGATAGCTCTTTATAGCTTTCGACTAGATACTACAGGCTATGAGGCTACAACACTTTTCCAAAATTGGCAAATGGGTCAGTTAGTTTAGTGACAAAATGGTTATTTATGTAAATGTCTACGCACTATGTATATCTACACACTTTTGGACCTAGATAGTTGTAAAAGGCATTGATAACATACATTTTTAGTCCCATTATTTGTGGGAGTGTATTGTGACAACCCGCATAACGGTACTGAAATAGTGTCGCGCCATAAAACATGGCACGTTTAGGCATTAGCAGCCATTATTGTTGTGCTTAAATATCAACACTAGCGATGATCGATCCGACCTCCTTGCTCACAAACCTCCTCCTACGTCAGGTTCACTGAGTACATTGATATTCTATTCATGATATTGTTTTGAAGATGATGCCATTCATCACTATTTGTTTATGCGCATCAACTTGTAATTCAAGTCAACGTACATTAGGGGATAAAAATAAAAACTGCGTTTAAAAAACCGACTTCAAAAAACCAAAACCTAATAACAAACAAAAAGTCAAAACTAAAAAGCAAAACATAACTATTATTAGTACTGATTTTTTTTTTAAGGGGGGAAAATCATCGAATGACTGCTCCCGCCTGGGTGAGGCGGAAGGGAGTGTCAGACTCTTACTGACTAAAAACCACCCCGTTCCTTCTCCTGCACGTCGAGCCGGAGCCCCGGTTACCCGTTAGGTTCTCCGCGACATTATTAGTACTGATAGGTTACCCACCCACTGATAGGTAAGAAGTCGGTGCCATAAGTTCCATACAAAATTATTCATTAAACCTTAATAGATACCTAATTCACAATTTTGTGGACATTAAGTTATATCATTATGATATAAGCTTATGGCACCGACTTCTAACCTATCAGTGGGTGGGTAACCTATCAGTACTAATAATAGTTATTTTTTGCTTTTTAGTTTTAACTTTTTGTTTGTTATTAGTTTTTGGTTTTTTGAAGTCGGTTTTTTAAACGCAGTTTTTATTTTGTTATTTTAAAATTTTCAGTGTAAAGCTACATATACCCGTTTTGTTACTTATAATCTACATAGGTGCAAAGTTCAAATCAATACAAATTAATCAAGCCCAAACACAAGGTAGGTACTGTATACCGTTGAGGAGTTCCCTTAACAATTACACTTCTTCATCATCAGACCCTTAATAACAGCCGTACTCTATCTAGGTGTAAAGTCCTCATCAATACAAATTAATCAAGCCCCTTTTTTTGAAGTCGGTAAAAATGGGCGTACTGATTAGAAGAACAGACTTGTACGACTGTGTAACAAACAATGATGTAACTTATGCAAGTACTGTAGATGCATGTTTATTTACAGTAATATCATACATATTCTTGCAAAACGTATCGTCTTTGAGAAAAAAAGATAACACAAAAAATTGCACTTTGCTATTGAAACTAATTGGTAGTTATGTAGACTTTTTACCTACTGTATTCGTATCGTCTTTCTAAATATAAGGCGTTTTTAAGGAGGAAATGATCGATTGTCTTCTCCCGCCTGGGTGAGGCGGCAGGGAGTGTCAGACTCTTACTGACTAAAAACCACCCTTTTCCTACTGCTGCACTTCGAGCCGGAGCCCCGGTAACCCGTCAAGTTCTCCGCGGCTCCGTATCGGCATCAGCCCTATTGGGCGCCTGTGATGCTTAATATGGTTTATGATGCGATAAGAAACTATGGTCTTTAGGTGTACAAACAACATGTAGACAAATGTAGTGTAAAGCGCTCTCCAGAGAGGTGGAGCGACGATATCTGCGAAGTAGGTGGGAGTGGTTGGATGCGACAAGCTTGAAAATCGTCTGACCAAATGACGGACTATTAGAGGGGCCTATGTCCAGCAGTCGAAGGAATAATGGACTAATTATAATGATGCAATTATGGATTTTATCGCATTTCTAAGCAGAAATAGCCTTAATAAAAATGATGGGTACTAAAATCATACGCAAGCTTTGCTTACGGAATTACAACCGTTATCTAAATACCTACCTGTAATTAAAATATGATGTTTATGTTTTATTTTAAAGAAAACGACCTTATTTTCTCTATTTAGTGAGAACCACCTTATTAAAAAAGGAAGTTTGATTTATAGACGACTAAAAAAATCCGATAATAGGTCTGCGCCTGCGCAACAAGATTCTACTACACATTTTTACCATTACGCGCGATCAGTGGACCGCGGCTTTTAAGTAATAGATTCCACAATAAATTATACTTTCATAGATACATAGATAAGCTAAAATCTCTCTCTATAATTACATTAAACATTTGTTTTACAGCCTACGGCCTACATGGTCCGCATTACGAAATAAATCGCACACGGAATAATTTTTGCACCAAGTCGGTTCAAAATTATAGGCGCGAATTGTTATCGGCTGTGCAGATTCCTCCACAAAATTCTGTGTTACAAAATTACGAATCAGCAGGGATTTTTATGGTACATCACTATGACGGTTTTTCCGAATAGAAAATAATATATCAGTGGTGGTTAAACTTGAATATAATGTAAATCAATTTGTTACTTATTAGAAAGCAAGGGTAACTAATCTAACTGTTTTCTACTCATAGTACTTCGAAATAAGCAACATATAACCAATTTACAACATTAGGGAGTTTAGATTTCTTTACATTAAAGATTTTAAAATTATCATATAAGCATATTTGGGATATATATTTATTATACAATTCATTTTAAGACCCTATACCCTTAGTTATGTATTATCGACTATAACAATCATGTCTTCCCTCTTTAATATTTTATTACCTTAACTTCGTTATCTACTTCATACTTTCTTTTTACAATTTTGCACCTACCGCTTTAACATTCTGCACCACCCAATGGTCGACTGTCAGAAAATGCCTACGGCATTAAGTCCACCAATTTCACTGTATGTGCAATAAAGTTTTAATAAATAAATAAATAAATAAAGAAACAGAACCTATTTATTTATTTCTCATCACTGTCCATTGTTCCCTTAGCACACCAAACACTGTTTTGTAAACAAACAACTCTGTTACAATAAAAATATAAACAATATTACATTCACCACCAACACAATGGCCAGAAGAAAGGCATTATTTATTTTGTCTTTGGACTACATATTATTAGAAATGAGAATTCATATTTTAAGCATATAATGTTATATGAGATGTGTCAAGTCACATGTCTTGTGCATATAATAGCCTAGCTAATGTCAACTAACATTAGTTATGCTATATAATCTTATTTGGCAGAGGTAAAACATGGCCCTAAATTGGGTATGATATTAAATAAGAATACACTGCTTGCTAAATATCTTTCTTTGGTCATATCTTATAAGACAAAAAGACTTTTTTTTATTCAATCTGCATCACATCTTGTAAGACTTGACTTCTTATTAGAAAAGATTTAAAATCATTTTAATACCAATATGATGTCTAATATTGGACAAAACAAAAAAAAACTAAATATCTTCTGTCCACCCTTTTAAAGGGTACATAGGTATGAATAATATGGATTAAATTATCAAAATAATTAACAATTACCACCCACATAAATTCTTATCAGACTAGGAAGAATTTTTGGTAGGATGTGAACATTATTACACAATAGGATTCATCTATGTACTCACTGAAATTGTTGATAATGATAACAGCTAAAATAATTAATGAAACATTCAATAGAAACTGTTTCAAATTAAAGTCTTCTACAAAAAAATTAAGAATCATGTCTGTGGTTTTTAAAGGATGTTCTATGCTTTTTTACAGTTTGAACTTTATTGTTCTTATTTTAAAATTTATAGGTCAGTAATAATGTCGGTACTAACAATTCCAAGGTCACATCTTGACATTTATTTGTATTGATTCTGCCACAGTGCCACTTGCAGAATGTGATCCTTTCTACGAGTTATACAGCATAGTATGTATGACCCAGGAAATTATTAATAGTGTACTACTACTATTACAGTGAAACTTTGTATTCTAATTTATTTTAATATGCAGGCACGCAATAATTAGTTATGTATGGTACTTAATAATTTATAAAGCATGTTTAATAATTTCATTAACATTGTTTATTAAAATTGCATAACAGTTTAAACATTTTATAGACACGTTAATTCGTAGTAAAATTGATATTACGTAGGTACTGTGTAAACAAGTAATTATTATATCATAGGTATAAGAAAACAATGAAAACTTACCTCTATATTTCCCATAGTTTGAAACGCCGTGAAGACAAACATAAACCCAAATCCAAGGATTATAACGTTTACAAATTTTCGATTCATTTTGCTGATGATTATTGTTACGGAACTAAACTAAAAAAAAATTCTAAACTAGATGCGATACGTATACTAATAAGATACGGTACGGGACTCAACAGTCCAACTTCTAAAAGAGAACTGAGTTGTTGACGTATTTTTCAATGATATTACACGCAACTCTGATCTCCCTCCACCACTAAGCGAGCAATAAAAGCAAAGAAATTATGTTTTCTTACATGTAAATAAATACACGACACGAAGCCTGTTTTAGCTGTCAATATTGGATGTCAAATGTCAAAACTGTCATTTGATTTGACATTACTGACATTTATTGCCTTTTTTATATTCTGATTTGGTACATAAACTTTTGGTACTTTCGTAATGGAAGGAAGATTCTTGTGAGATTCATTTATTTTTAATTTTTTGGTAATGCACAAGCAAGGACATTGAAAAAGAGGTCCTTGTGCATAAGAAAAACACAGGGCGTGGGTACCATCTTTGGTTTTATGTCTTATTTAACGATTTCAGTTGTGATTAATATAATTAGTAAACTTAATATAATACAAAAAAATATATTACTTTTAGGGTTTAAAGATTTAAATAAAGGCAGGTTCAATGCTATTAATATCTTGGTATTTATAATAAACGTATTCTTTACAAATTCAAATAATATCTTATCAAATCATTGTGACATCTATGCGACGCAACGTTTTATTCACTCCATTTACGTTTAATTAGCACCCATAGATTATATAAACTTACTTGTCTGTACTCTTCCTTCTTTGATTTATTTAGTAATTAGATATTGTCTGTGCTTATTTTATTTTTCTGATTCATCGAGTGAAATATATTGCTGGATTTAAATACGTAAAATTACAAACAAATATGTTAATTTTAGTGTTTTAAGTGATCAATGGAAATGTAGTGCCTTATTGTGAATGTTGTGTGGTTTAATTTACGTATAATTTCACTGCTTCATCTTTGATGAGGATGATCTCATTGACGTTCTGACATTACAGTCTTTTTAGCGGATTCTTGATCGTTTTATTATTTTGCTATTGGGTCCAATGACCTTGTAACTTAAAAATAATTTCATCGAAATTTAATAGTGACAATGAGGAAACAGTTTTATAAGGTTAAGCAACTCGCCGACCAAACGTTTTCAAGGTATTAATAAGTACTTTACACTATCTTAGCTATCTGATAAGATTCACCTCTTTGTGGGTTTGGCCCGATGTTATTGTAATCCTTAACTTGTATCAGTTGCATTAGAACCGATGCAGAAACCAGTATCATGAGAAAGAAGTACTCAATATTTTTCTTATCATTTAATTTATTTGCAATTTTGAGGCATTTGTAATTTTTGATAAAATATTAATAAATAAATTATTTTTAGGTCAGGTAAAGCAGAAGGATTGACAGATGAGTTACAGACAGCAGACAGAAAGGTAGAACACTTGAGAAATGCCTTACAGTTGGTTAGCAAACGGTTGTCAACGGGAGCTGGCAGTACACAGGGCCAGGACCCCGCAGCCAGAGAGAAAAGACTGAAGAAACTGCCAGAATACCTCCTTGGATTGTCTATGTGTGAAGCCAGTAATTTTGATGACGATGATAGCATTTTAAAATACATTTTATATGAATGTGGTGAGTACCCTATAATATTCTAATTAGAATTAATGGGAAAATTATATATGAATACTTATTGAACAATTTGGTTTTCCTTTTAGGTAAAACTGAAAAATTTTTGGCCAATGAGATAGCCGAGCATGAACTGAAGGTGGAACAATTAGTTTGTGCACCATTAACAACTATTAGTGACCAGGATCTTCCGGCTATAATGAAAGCTAAGAAACAACTTAATAGACTTATGAGTGAAAAGGAATCGGCCACTAGCAGATATCATGTGAGTTATATCTGTGATCTTATTTATCTAAACTTATCAGACTGTTGAATTTAGAGATGAACTTCTTATTTTCTTATCAGAAACTAATAGATTTTGTCACATAAACAAAACCTTTAAACCATGTTGTGATACTTGAGATGTTTCAATGTCACTATAATCTGTTTATCTTAAATATATCTAAAATATAATGTTATAGTTGTGTTCCAAGAGGGTAGGCCGAAACAACAGTACCATAACTATAACTTCCATACTGTTTATGCATGTCGTAAACCAGTTAAGTGCATACTGTACTCGGTCTATGTCTTGAATCTATCCTATGTGGTCAGCTTACCTGCTATGTAATACAAACATTGCAATCATTTGTAAATTTTATCATTTTATTCATCTCAATACAAAATATTATAATGGTTACAATATAAATATCTAAACTGTTTATTTATTAATATTATTACATATATAAATCTACACCAAACCTTGCACAATAAATGTAAACACAGAAAATGTATGTGTATGTTCAAACATAAATTAATAAGTACAAATGAAATGAATAAGTTTACTTTAAAATTGTGACTGCTCCCATTGTTTAATATTCAAGCGTTCATTACCATTTTTGAGTGGATCAAACATGTTTTACGGTTATTTATTTCGATTAGATATTTGATATGATATTCAGATTAACTGAAAATCATGATTCATGTGATAAAGCATTGTGTGTAACGTAACTATCCTTTTAGCACCTAGAACGTCAAAAAGAAGAGAATCCAACAAAATTAAATGCTGCAAGAGAAGAATTGGAGGATGTTGGGATCAGAGTGGAGGCTGCAAGGGATGCTCTGGCCGCGGACATGTTTGCACTTGTCGCAAAAGAAGCCCAACTTGCCCACACTCTTCTGCAATATGTTAAGCTACAGAGAGCATACCATGAGTCCGCATTACATTCCTTACAAGACACAGTTCCGGAGCTAGAAAGATTTATTAGTAAGTACAATGATTTGTTGAGTCTTAAAAACGTAGTTTAGTCTTGTTTTAATCATTCATTCATTCGTTTTTATAATAACTATAGTACTACTAAATTAACCAAATTATTCACGTTAAAATACTGAGAAAAGCTCTACTAGTTTCGAACCGCAAAGAGGATCTTCCTCATGAGCAGCGTGCGCGGTCGCGGCGATGTCGCGCAGCGAGTACAGCTTACAGAGCTTTTATCAGTATTTTGACGTGACTAACCCGCGAATTTAGTTGATTTTTCTTCTTCTTATATATCTATTTACTATGACTTTCCTTTCTATTTTTGTAGTATTAAGTTATTTTGCTTTTGAAAACTTTCTTTTGATATTTGCTTTTTTCATCTGTAATAAATAAAAAGTTTATTTCAATTATTGGTTTCATCTTTCTTCAGTTTCTTATTGAAACTAGTTACTAGAATATATCATCAACAGCCCATAAATGCCCACTGCTGAGCAAAGCCTCTTCTCACACGGAGAAGGTTAGAGCATTAATCACCACGCTGGCTCAATGCGGGTTGGCGATTTCAAACTCATAATAAGAAATTATAAGTCCAGGTTTCCTCACGATGTTTTTCCTTCACCGTTTGTCAGTGGTGTCTAAATAATCTTAGAAAGTACATATAACTCGGAAAAAGTCACATTGGTACTTGCCGTTGGTAGGTTTCGAACCCGCACCCTCATGCATGAGAAGTGGGCGTCTTAAACCTCCGGGCCACCACGACGACTAGAATATATATTCTAGTTATTTATTGGTATCAGTCCCTTATAATTGGTTTTGGTACAATATATATATTTTTTTCATTCACTATCAGACATCTTCACATCATTAACTTTTCCTCTCATTTTAATTATAATTAGAAAAATATGTTCAGTTCATTTGTGACTTTTGTTTTATAATTAGATGTCTGTGCAAATTGTTTTATCAACATCCTTTTAATATTCAATAATGATTACCATACAATGATATGCATAGCGGTCTGTTAGGAATACTAAAAGGGAAATATCAAAATTATCCTGTTATAACATTTGCATTGGTTAGTTGTTAATTGTTATCAATATGCCGCGACAGGATATAGAATAGTTACAATTTGTATTTTTTTTTAAATTTTTATACCAATTTTATATTTAACCAAAGTGTGGGTAATGTTTTGTATGTTATTGTTTCGTATTGGTATTTTTAAGCATTTTTTCTTGCTGAACAAGTAATACACATTTTTTTATTTAAACGGTTTTAATGAGCTCGATTTTACCAATCAAGCCCTTTCGTTTGTTATCCAAAACGGAGGTAGTTGTGAAAAAAAATGTGTACCAAATATAAGATCAATCTGAGGTCTAGAAGGGATTTAAATTCTAATTAATAGACTCAATCATACAAATCGTTTAACAAACATAATGTGATTATAAAAATATCCTTTGTCGAGCGTGAGATCGTTTGTACCCGGGACACAGCAGCTACTTGCTCAGTCTTTAGGCCAACCGACCAACTGCACTGTGTACCTATATTCAATAAACTATTTGATCAATCGGATCGAATAATATTATACACCGTGATATTTATTTCGTTTTCGTCCCGCGACAAAACCACTTGCCATAAGGAGTAATTTTGATGTATAAATATGTAAAAAAAATTTAAAAAAATATTCATTGACTTTCGCATATGAGATAGGTATTACATGTAAATTTAGGCACTATTCGCATCACACGTGCCACCCGTCGAAAAATACCTTTTCGAGAATTATTTACCTGTTGAAATTTGTTGTAAATCATCCCCTAAATTTTTTCATACAGAAGTAGTCTCTAAATATTGGAAATAAGGTATATAATGTAGTTAGTGGAGAGCAATCACCGGTGACCGGATATATACTTGATTGGGGGTATACTTGATGTTTTGTTTATGTACTATGAATCTGTATGCACTTTCGAAGTTGCTTTTTGCAATGGGTCACTTTTTGTTTTAAACATTTTATTTCTTTGCAAAACTATATTACCGAGACAGAACCATTTTACTTCGGGACGAAAACTAAGTAAATAGTGTAAAATTAAAAAAATTAAGTTAAGTACTAATTTCAATTTTCCTTTGATGTTCATACATACACAAATACACATGTTTATAACCACGTAGGAAAATTGAAGTACTTAACTACCTACCTATGAAATTTAATAAATCAAAATTGTAATGAATATCATATTTATTAATTATTATTAACTAGCTTCTACCCGCGTCTTTGTACGTATACTCCCGTTTTTCCCGTTCCCGTTCGTGATTTTCGGTAAAAAAAAAAAAAAAAGTATTGGATTAAAAGTGTCCTATGTCCGTTTCCTAGTTCTAAGCTACCTCCCCACCAGTTTTCATATAAATCGATTAAGTCGTTGTTGAGTTATAAGTAGTGTAACTAACACGGCTTTCTTTAATGAATAGATAGATATAGATATTGAAATAAGTAGAGTCTACACAGCTATGACATCGAACATCGAATATCATACAATTGAATGGCTCCAAATCTTCGTTCAATAAATTATGTATGCTTCCTTTGGATCGGTGTAATGTACACATCCGTCGTGGACACATACATGTATGTAGGTACATCACATAATACTTCCGCCAGACGACTGGTGGACTGTACCAATTTAGCGATGTAGGCAACCGTAGCTGTCGACTGTTGTATATTATTATATTATATTGAACGCAATACGTCATCCAATATGACAAAAATACGTATCGAGAGAGCAAAAATAACATACCTAAGTAACTGATTTTCCCTTGAAATAGGTAAAATCGGTACCTACAGGGTCAGACTTTGTGCCTGGTTCTACGATCCACATGGCATTTCTATTAAAAAAAAAGTGAGCATAGGTATGTAAGGTCTGCTAAATACAGGGTGTAAACGAACGCTACCGAAACAGAATCTAACGGGTTACCGGGGCTCCGGCTCGAAGCGCAGGAGAAGGAACGGGGTGGTTTTTAGTCAGTAAGAGTCTGACACTCCCTCCCGCCTCACCCAGGCGGGAGCAGTCATTTGATGATTTTCCCCCCTTAAAAAAATACTGCAAAGATTGCGAACCTTTTTTTGAGGTACTACATGTGCATTCAAAACAATTTTGGCTTTTGTAGGTCGTTCGTCGTTCGTTCATACTGAACTGGATTAATTTGTGTAACTCTGAATGTTTAATGTTATTCATATCTGAAAGTAACGACATGTATAGGACAGATTTTGCAATTATTGTGCCCAAAATATTGTGCTGCGTGTCATGGTCATCATTGGCACGCGTGCCAATGGTTCGCAAATCGTGGTATAGGGTAACATTTATACACCTGGTGTGCCGGAACGTAGATACACGTGAGACACAATGTGTTTTCTATTGTGTCTCACGGCACAGACAAGTGGTTAATATGTTCACTTCTGGATTTCCTGACAATGAAAGACGTAAAGTATTGCATAATGGTAATGGCTATACTATTAAATGTACCAAATCTGTTACCATGCGCACATTCCTCATCCAGTACCATAACCAAAGAAAATCAGAAATTAGATACTTTATATGCATCCCACGCAAGAATCATATCTTGGTCCTAATGAGGTAATCATTCCATTAGGATTTGCTTCTTAAAAATCTGGTTTGCATACTGGCATTAGCAAATTACTTTTCAAGTCAAATTGTGAACATTTAAATTACTAATTAATATATTAAATATTCCTATAATAAATTAAAATAATAGCATAGTTAAAAAGAAAAACACACTTCATTCATAGATATTTATTTAAAAAATACATCAATCATAACTTAATTCTTAACTGTAGAATAAAATTGACATTTACAGTTTTCAGTAAGGAAGAATTGTCAAATTTAGTTTCCTCAGTTCAAATTTATCTGGCGTTCGATAAATCGGCCCTTAATGTTCTAACCGTAACATTTCGTGCAGGGTAAATAGAACGGAATCATCAAGTCACTCCGAAAAGAATATTTTTCAGTATCCTTAATTATAATAATGTTGTCATTAACCAAAGGATGTAAAATGTTAATCCTTGATCCTTTAAAAATGCTCAATTAGTGTATTATTTCTAAGTACTAGGTACTTAATTAATAACTACCAGCTACTTACGTGTAATATATACAGATTTTTATAATAATGTACAGATTTTCCTTTTCAATCACTTACATGGTTACCCATTACCCGTTTGACAGTTCAAATCAATATTGGAAACGCCCATCGTCAAAATACCGGTTTTTCCTGTGAATAAATTATAAATAGGGTAGATGACTTAATTTTTATTTTAATTTCCGTTTAGTAGATTATTTAAAAACATTAGATACGTGTTTTTGATTTTCTTACGGAAACGAATAGTTTCGAAGATATATTGATTTGAAATATCGCATGACGTCACTTTTGAGTACGATTTATACTCTAAAAATGCCAGTAATATTTGTGAGTATAAAGCAATTTACCCTCAAAACTTTCGTCTTTATTAAATTAATTAATTGTCTAGTACAGGGCTGTCCAAACAAAGGCCTGCGGGCCGCATGCTGCCCGCAGCTTGATTTCATGTGGCCCGCGAGCCGGCGCCCGCTACACACATTTCAATCTCAACATTTTCATCTTATGTGCAACAAAAATAATAAAATTCATTATATGATTTGTGTGCAAGTTTAGTCTGTGAGTAAAGAATACAATGTTAAACGTCATTATACAACTGAAATCATTTTTCTGGCCCTACAGTTTTTGTAAGAAATTTAACTAGCCCGCGAGGGTATATAGTTTGGACACCCCTGGTCTAGTATATGGAATACACATTAGTTTTAATATATTCAAATAATTTTGATAGCAGGATACATATGCTTTTATCCTATACTTAATATGGTACGGCGAACATATACACAGGAACAACAGACCAATATTTATCAATGTATGTAGACTGTAGACACACCAGCACCCCAAATCGAGAACGTGCTCTAATCAATCAATTTTCGTCTTTATTAATGGGATGATAAAGTTAAAAATCCAAATAACATTTGACTCTTGAGGATACTATGATGTGCTGGCGTCTTAACTGCGCTTGCTTCCTTCTAGTTTAAGAATAGTTATAGGTACAGTTATGAATATTAAAAGGTGATTGATAAACATTTGGCTACAAACAAATGCATACATACATATTAGGTTTTCAGTTCTTACCTTCTGATTTATACTTAAATGAAATATACAAAACAGATTATGTAGCGTAATTGGCCTCTCCTATGTGAAATGAAAATATCATTAGCTACAAAGGACCAAGATATCTGCGACACTAGTGATGATGAATTATCAACAACTTTGCGTCTAATGTTCTACTGATTTGACAGCTTGTCTTCCCACGCGGCGGTTTAAGGGAAGGCCTATATCTAATCGATGGAAATACGCTAATGATTATATATTGACATAGTTACCTTTTGTTACAGATGACAGCTCCGTAAAGCCGGTGTTTGGATATCCCCTAGAAGAACACTTGAGAGTGACAAATCGTTGTATAGCGTTCCCAATTGAGTTATGTGTGTGCACGTTACACGAACTCGCGTTGAATGAGGAGGGGCTCTTTCGAATTGCCGGCGGTGAGTAACAGGAAAATTTACCGATATATTATATGTTGTAGAACAAATTACGCAAATATTTCAATTGGACGTTATTCAATTGCTCATTTATTTACATTTAGAGGCGGGTGTACGCATTCTATTCAGCCTAGTAGGGCTGATGTCTGACCCGGAGCTGCGGACAGCCTAACGGGTGGCTGGGGCTCGGGCTTAAAAAAGCAGGAATAGGAACGGGGTAGTTTTTTGTCAGTAAAAGTCTGACACTCCCTCCCGCCTCACGCAAGACGGGAGAAGTCATGGGATAATTTCCCATATTCAAAATATAAACCATTCGCACTTATCAAGATAGTGTAGTAGAAGTGCAGATATAATACCTATATGGTAGGTGCATTGTTTATCGTGTCGTATGACTCAAGTGTTCTCGGGTTTGATTCCCGTGTCTCAACAATGTATTATCAGGATTTTCGATATTCTCAGTAATATGAAGTTTGAAACTGTAGGTACTCGCTGTTTGATCAACGTCTGGTCCATTGTGTGCACGAATAAAGAAGATGTTTATATATTACTAATTGAACAAGTATTGCAAACAGATTTGTTACCATTAAGCAAAAGGTATTCGATAAATAGGGAATAACAATAACTCGAATCAATTGGGTTGTTCCAAACAAACTTTCTCAAATTATGTTTATTGCGTATGTGACTATTGAAACCTAGTGTAATGGTGTGTATGTAATAAACACTGGCTTCAACATGCATTCAACCGTATTCAATGCATTACTTGAATGCTTTAATGTTATATTATGTACAGCTGTGATCATGCTCTCATAACAAGTATATTATTAGAACAGATTACTTCCATTGTGTTTATCATAACATCCCCAGTACTAAACTCGGTACGTTTGTATCTTTCAGGTACTTCCAAAGTACGCAGAATGAAGCTGTCACTAGACGCTGGCCTGTTCAACGTCCCGCTCCCCGGGACTACAGGGACATGCACGTCGTCGCTTCAGTTCTCAAGAGCTACCTCCGAGAACTGCCCGAACCATTATTGACGTACCGACTCTATGAGAACTTTGTGAACGCATCCCGTCAGCCTTCAGAACAAACTCGACTTAATGCTATCTGGGAAGCCATACACTTACTGCCCGAGGCTAATTTCCAAAATCTTAGGTATCTTATCAAATTTTTGTCTACTTTGACACAGAACCAAAGTACAAACAAAATGACGCCGTCGAACCTCGCCATCGTGATCGCTCCCAACCTACTTTGGGCCGCCGACGAGAGCACTTTCGACATGAACATCACCACCGCCGTCAACTGCATCGTAGAACTGCTCATCAAACACGCCGACTGGTTCTATAAAGACGACGTCAACTTCTTCATATCATTCACCAAAGAGGATCTACTTCCAGATCAATGCGAGTACGGGTTTTCACCCAACTTCGTGCACGGCATGAACCAAACTGCCGCGCTCAGTCAGGAACCAGCTAACGGCGACTACAGCAGTATGAGCCGGTCCATGTTCGACTACAACCATCACAGCCTGGCCAAGGCGGCCGACGGAGGCGGACGGCACTCGAGGAGCAACAGTCACGACACTAGTTTAATATTGCTAGAAAACGATATAAAGAAGGCGCAGTCCAACAGCTCGTTGTCTGATCAGTCTAGTCCCCCTCATGGTAGTCCTAAGCCTATAATGAGGCGAAAAAATAAACCACTCGCTCCAGTGCCGCCTAACTTTACTCCTGACAAAAATAAGAGAGTAGAGCCTCAGCCTCCTGCACAGGAGGTTGTTAAAGAACAAGCAAGTACAAAGATAGATAACGACAAGCCTGCCAAGCCTCCCCGACCCGTGATTTCCGACAGCGGCAAGGTGATCTCAGGCGTACAAACAATAAACCGCTCCACGTACAGACAGAACCGCGCCATGAAGGAGGAGGCGGCGCGCTCTAGTAGTCGCGAGCACCTCGCCGACACGCGCCGGCAGAGCCTCGAACTAGACAAGGACAAGATCGACGTACTCAAACCACCTGAGCCAGGGAAAGAATCCACACTCGTGGTGAAAAATGTACAGCACAGACTGGAATCGTGAGCAGAATGAAAGTAGTGGGAGATGCGTTCAGTGGGCCTGCGTCACTGGGCGCCGAGCGACCCGCGCCCACCGTCGACAAGGTCGTAGCGGCGCGGCTGCAACCTATTACCAAGCCGGCCGGCCAGGCCCCGCCCCGGCCCGTGGCGGCCCCGCGCACCATAGTTCCCGCGCTGCCCGACCCCGCCGCCGCAGCCCCGCCAGCGCTCGCTAGCTCCGCTGCCGAACCGAGCGACGTCCAGCTCCGCCACAAGCCGGCCGTGCCGGAGCGGCCCGCCACGCTGCGGCCGCAGAGCTTCCGAGCGCCTCGCTCCTCACTCACCGACGCCCCGGACATAGCGCCCACTGTACTGGAGCGCACTCACATCTATACCGTGGACAAGCAACACCCGACCGTCATACAGGTGGGAGCTAGCGCGGCCACTGCGGCGGACAAGGAGGTGGAAGAAGTGCCGCGCGCCACGGTGCAGCGCACGCACAGCTCGGGCGGCCGCGACGGGGAGCTGGAGGAGCCGCGCAGTCTGTGCGTGGCCAGCCGCCAGCTGTCGCAGTCGGAGGGCGACATCACGGACTGTCCGTCCCCGCGGCCGCAGCCCTCGCGCCCCCCGCGCCCGCTCGTGCCGGCGCCGCCCCCGCCTGTGTCCGCGCCGGCCGCGCAGACCACACCTATTCCAGTGACACAGCCAGCCCAGCCGGCTCAGCCATCCCAGCCTGTCCAAGCAGCTCAGCCAGCGCCTCAAGCCCCTGCGGCTGTGGTTCCGCAGCCACTGAGAGAGAGTACAGATCTCTAGCCGTCGCTATTCGTCCCAGTGCCCATGCCGAGGTTAAAACGTCGTCGTTAATTCGACGTTTGACTGCTTTTGCAGACGGCGCTACACCTTGTTTGCTACGATACTGGTCTAAAATACTAATCTAGTTTTCGCAATCGTGAATTTATTATGAAGTCGCAACGAGACTGATGTTCGCTCTTATTTTCTGCTATGCCGTGTCTCGGTCGCGTAGAAAAAGTTATTTGAGAAACGTTTTTCTTTGCATCAAATGAGTATTATGTATTTATTTTTATAAAAGTGTAGCATTAATAATAAGATAACACGTGATAATTTGAATAATATTATCTATTACCAAATTAGAAATTACAGCTTTTGCGTAATACGTAGGTCTGACGATTAATCATTGACCCCTGGAATATTATTCCAAAAAGACATATCGGTTAGATTGTCTATATAGCTTTTTTATTAAATCTAATTTTATTAAAATAATGGAATGTTGTAAACTAAGTTTGTACAATGAGTGAATGTTGCAATTAATACTTGTGATATTAGAAAAGTATAACCACACTCCCGGTCAATGACCGCTAGCGGGAGCATGCACAAATGTAATTGTAACGAACAGCCATATTTTTAATGATTTTTGTGATGGAATAAACCATAGAGCACGATACATTTGGCCAGCGCCGGCGAGTCATTTTATTTGCTAGCCATTGTGACGCGTTTTCGACTATTTGGCTGCTACATAGATTTTATTTTTTGTATTCAGAGTTAATTAAATTGTATTTATAAATTAATCCGGCGTTGACCAACTGAACGAGTACGCTATGGTAGTATTCCGTTGACTTGTCAATGCATTAGATTTAGTAATGGACGCAATGCTGTTTTAATGACTATTATTTTAGCTATAAGTATGTTATGTAGTGTTTACAATCTTATGTGATATGCATTTTATTATTATATACTTCAAGTATACCAGCTTCTGTTGTAAGTATTAATAAAATAGCCCAAACATTAAATTAGATGTTTCAATACTATAAAATGAATCCACCCCACCAAGCTTCTTAGGGGCCGTCCATAAATTACGTCACACGTTAAGGGGTAGGGAAGGAGTCGACGAAGTGTGATAAGGGGGAGGGATCTTAAACTTTGTGATGTCACATTTGAAAAACTACTATAAAGCACGAAACACGAATGTTTTTTATTTTGTTTGATTTGGTATTAATATTTTTTTAAAGTAATTTTAATAAGAAATAAAACTGATTTCGGAATCGCTGTTTTCATTCAATATTTTTTATAGGTACATAATACTGCAAAAAGTGACGTCACACAAGGGGGGTCTCATAAATGTCACTAGCTGTGACAAGGACAAAAAATCATGAAATTCGTGTGACGTAATTCACGAATGACCCCTTATTCGCCTATAGCCTTTAGTCATTGTTCTATGCCAAAGAATGAATAAAACGAAAGTGTCACTGAACATCTCTATATTACGTCTGCCATTTCACAATATAATAGTTTCGTTTGCCAACTCTAAGTAAGGACAATAAGTTAGGTAGTATGTGCGCAGACTGGGTGATAACTTCATCAATCTTCTTTACTTTCTGGTGGTTGATGTAGAAACCGCCGGCTTGGATGATCCTCATTGCATCGTCTGTAAATAGAAAATGTTATTAGTAAATAATTGAGAAGAGATAGAAGTATTTATCGTATGTAGTAAAATCACATCTAGCCCATAATGAGGGAGGGAGGGGCGTGCATTAGAGTAACTAAGGGCATTCATTAAATTTCATATAACTGCCATTTTTTGTTATTACCAGTGATCGGAAAAAGATGAGCTAATTTACCTAAACTTCAAGGAACAAAAATAAAAAGTGGAGACTTCCTACTACAACATTTTTTTCGGGAAAGTTCCGGTTCCAGTTTCGGGATATTTATATATTAGAACCATTATTACGATGATGATAAATATTAAAAAAAAATACTTACTTTCAGTGGGAAAGCATTTCGCCTTCATGCCGAGTTCCAGTACAGTTATGCCAGGAGATAGAAGTAGGTTCGTCACTGTCGCATTCTCGAATATCTGCTCCAACTCCGTACTGCTAAGCGTGACCAGAGACTTCACGTCTTTGCTGTATATCGCTTCTGTTGCTTTCATTGCTCGCTCTAATCCCTCTTCTGAAAATATCAAAACATATAATTAAGATAAAAACACAGATGTTAAGAAGGAGGCAAAGATGCATATAAAATACATACTATAAGAAGCACTTATCAGTCCCGTGTAATAAACATGAAAACCGATACCGGGAACCCTTGTTCGTTAGTTGAATCAAATTTAGATTCATAAAATAAACTAGCTTGCCTTCCACTGGAGTAGGCAGATAAGAAAAGGTTAAATTTGCATACAGCAAGATATGTTTTGTGCAAATCTTACTGAGAAAAGTACCTATGTTACGTACCAATCAATAAATTCATAGTTATATTAAAGCAAATGAATCAATAGTATGTAGTTGTAAATCGATATTAAAATGATACTTACTTCCATGTACTAAAGTCGTAAGTTGATCAGCTAAACAAGTCTGTGGGTATCTCTGTTCAGGGTGCTGTTTATGTTTGAACATAATGTCCTGTATTTCGCCTACACTGTAGAATGTAAACAATTTCAGTAGATTCTCAACCTCGGAATCCTTTGTCCTGATGAAGAACTGATATAAACCATAAGGGCTAGTTTTCTTTGCATCTAACCATACAGCATTGCCTGCTGATTTACCGAATTTGTCGCCTTCTTCTGTCGTGACTAGAGGTAATGTGAGACCTGTAAATTACAAGATGTAGATTACTAATTTATTTTGATATTAGCTATTACCCGCGGCTTCGCTCGCGTCACAAAAGGATAACAAGTAGCCTATGTGACATATACCAATACATACAACGCCATCTATACCAATACTTTTGTTTTCCCTCGGGAATATCAAATTTTTCCGGGATAAAAAGTACCCTATTATTTAATCCAGACTTCTAACTTTACGTCTGCAAAAATTCAAAGCAATCGGTTTAGTAGTTACGGCGTGAAATCGGAACAAACAAACAAACTCACTTTCCGATTTATAATATTAGTAAGGAAGTAAGGATAATTACACGTTTGTCTGTAGACTTCAAATTAAAAACTTTTTTTAAAAGTGAGAGCACTTACATGAAGCAACAAAAGTTACCCTGAAGTCCATACAGATAAAGATTCTATAACATAGAAAAAATAATAGAAACTTACCATAAACACTTTTCTTTGTCGTTCTACTGATTAATTCATGTCCAGCACTTATATTACCCATCTGGTCACTGCCACCTATCTGATATAAAAAAAAAATCAATTATGAATAAGTAGTGTTGTACACGCGACGCAACGTGTCGCGGGTTCGATTCTCGCACAGAGCAACTCTTTGTGTGATCCACAAATTGTTGTTTTGGATCTGGGTGTCACGTGTATGTGAATTTGTTAGTAGTATTAAGCTTAAAATATAACATAACATCACGCTTTTTTATCCCCGAAGGGATAGACAGAGGTGCACATTTCGGCACTTAATGCCACTGTACAATGTAACACCCACTTTTCACTATTTATGTTATGAGTCCCATGTAATAGGGGGTGAGCCTATTGCCATATACCGGGCACATTTTTTCAGACTCCGTGCTACTACTGAGATTTTTAAAAACCCAGTAATACTTTGCCCGACCCGGGAATCGAACCCGAGACCCCTTGCCCGGCAGTCGCACTTGCGACCACTCGGCCAATGAGGCAGTCAAGCAGTCAACTTAAAATATAATTAGAGTTAAAGAAAATCACCTGAAATCTACAGTTGTACTCCTTCAGCAAATGTAACCAGTCATAAGACTGGAATATCTGATATGCAAATTCAGTGAAACTCATTCCAATTTCTGAATTAATTCTAGTCTGTACACTATGTTTTAGTAACATTGTACCCATGCGGAAGTTTCTACCTATGTCACTCACAAATTGTATGGAATCTATACCTCTGTACCAGGATTCGTTGTTGACTACCCTGGAAAATTAAAACCAGAAAATGAGCAACACAGTAGTAAATCCAGCTTTCCCCAAAGACCCCAGTAAGTAAGACTAAGCTAAACTAGTCAATTTTGAGTAAACCTTCATGATTTACTAGCTACTGCCCGCGATTTCGTACGCGCAATCCCGTTTCCGTTCGTGATTTTTGGTAAAAAGTAAAACAAAATTGGATAAAATGTCCGTCTATGTCCGTCTCCTGGTTCTAAGTTACCTCCCCACCAATTTTTATCCAAATCGATTTCCCATTTTTGAGTTATAAATAGTGAACTAGCACAAATTTCTTATATAGTTACTATGTATATAGATATGCTTAATTAAATTTGTTCAAAATGTTCAAAAGGTTATTCTGAGCACATTAAAGGGAAAAAATGGAATGCAAGAGGTAAAACATAAAAAAAAACTCAACTAGAAATTAGTGAAAAATTTTGAAAAAGTTCCGTTTATAATTACTTGATAGGTTTAAGTTTACTTTCATCTTTTGTCCAGATATATTTCTTATGGTTTTCAAACACTGTCTCTAGATTATTCTTGATACAATTAACATTGTCTTGTATTACTTCACTATGTAACGCTACTCGGTCTGTGCTCCTTCCACTTGGATCACCAATGTACCCTGTAGCTCCACCTAACTGAAAAAAAAAAAATGTTTTATGAACAAAAAGTTTTGTTACAAAAAAATTGCAGAGAAAACCCCAGTGTCATGCAATCTTGACAGTGAAAATTCACTTTTACACCAAAAATAACTTTAAAATCGATATTAACTCTCTCCTGCACCCATGTTCAGTATCTACATACTTAAAAAATTCATCTGACATTCATGCCTTTTATTCAACTCTGTGCCTAAGTTCATTCTGATCCATGCAGCACTTTCACCCAAATACTGAAAGGCAAGAACTACATTATAGACCTTATTTCCAACTAGCTTTTACCCACGGCTTCACTCGCGTTACAAAAGGATAAAAAGTAGCCTATGTGACATATATCAATACACACAGCACCATCTATACCAATAATTTCGTTTTCCCTCGAGAATATAAATTTTTTCCGGGATAAAAAGTACCCTATTATTTAATCCAGACTTCTAACTTCACGTCTGCAAAAATTAAAAGCAATCGGTTTAGTAGTTACGGCGCGAAAGTGGAAAAAACAAACAAACTCACTTTCCGATTTATAATATTTGTAAGGATGTTTAGAGACTTCTTTTGTAACGGGGATGATTTTCAACGATTTTCAACGGGTGAAATATAGTGCTATCTCAGTAATTTTACAAAGAATTTGCAGTAACAGAAATACACTTAAGAGTGACTTAAAATTCAATAGCATTTCAGTATTCGAGCATTTGTGTGAAAAACTAACAAACGTCCATTCTTACAAACTTTTACAGGTTTAATGTAAAGTAGTAATTTCGTACATAAAATACAGAAAAATATTTGAAAGAAAAATAAAATCTCACCAAAGCAATAACGTCATGGCCTCCACGTTGCCAATGCAGTAGGTTTATAATAACAAGTAGGTTGCCAACATGAAGGCTATTTGCCGTGGGGTCAAAGCCAGCATAGACACATTGTGGAGCTTTGTTTAATAAGTCTAATATTTCAGATCTGTAATGGAAATATACAAAGTATGCAATATAGGTCACAATATATGATTCAAATTTATTTAGCTGTTGATTTTTATGTCTAGATGGACTGTATTGTTTCAGTGTTTTGATGGTTGCATCTAACTTCTGTAGATCCTGACTTGCAAGAGGGGCAGCTATTTTGTGAGGTTGAAGCGGTCCCAATAAAAAAAGTTGGTCATACTAACTTGTTTCAGGAGACAGGCAAGATAATTGCCTAGGCATTTATTACTAGATCTAGTATGTGCATCTTAAACTGTCTAAGACCTAATTAATATTTTAAACGTACCCGGCAGTGTTAGGAAACAAGTCTTGGTACATCCCGCGTTCACTCAGTTTTAAAATATTTCTGCTGGCATAACTACGTTTGTAAGATTGTAGCCATGTAGTTTTGGACACACATAATATTTGTCTTAGTAACTTCATGTTTAAAAATTCGTAAAGTATGTTATGTGAAATATAACCTAAATGTTAAAAATGTATGTTAAATCTATACTGCATTCACTACAAAAGCAACATATGTTATTTCTTCAAAATCACAGTTTTCTTTCATAATATTACATAACACGGTTTATTTTATTTTTGTAGTAAAATCTCATTTTCTCTTTCAAGAACTACCGAATCTTTCGTGTTCCTCAACAAATTGTTGACATTTGACAGTTCCTAAGAAAAAAAGCATCAAACGCTCTTATGACCAGTACTTAAAGTTCATAATCGAATGAATTATTTTTGATAGAAAGGATTTCGTTCAGAAATACACGTACCTACACACTATTATTTCTGTAATTTCATTCAGATCTAAGAATAAGCACTTGAATGATAACGATGAGTTTGTTGCCCAAGTTGCCGTAAAGAAATTTAAGAAACAAAGAAATGCAATCGCAAGATTGGAAGGCGTTAGTAGCAACCAAAGAGTATAATAAGTATTAGCAACTTAACAAGAACTATCACTTGGCAGTCAGTCCATCATACTCTTACTTGCATGAACTTTTACGGTTTTGTATATGAATGCCAATGTTTGTAGATACACATAATGTTTTATTCCTCGAAGTTTTTGTCAGATGCTATACTATAAAATTATAAATAGTTCAACCTTTATGGGGGTAGGGCGTATGGGCATAGAGTTGAACTATTTACTATACACCGGCAATAATTCCAGGCTACCTACTGCCACGGTCACTACCGTATCCGGGAATCGAACCCCAGACCTCCGGTACGATAGTTACTAAGTTTCTTGTCCAATAGTCGTATAATAGCAATTAAGAAATAAGAACTTATAGACAAATTTTATTAGGACTTGTAATAAAAATCTTATCAAAATATGCCACAATTTCATTTATTTATATTAGTCTACAATTAATTTATGTATTACAATAATTTGTATGTATGTATGTATTTATTTATCGAGACGTATAACTGTTACTTTAGCCAGTCTGTGATCATGATGAGGTATATCAATCAGGGATGTTATTTAAACACGTATCCAAATTCCAATGTTTGGGTTCACACAGCTTATTTTATAATATAAAGACAAAGATCACACTAATTACAGTACGTCTAAATTCCTAGCACTGGCGCGTAAGCTATATCATTAGCCACATTATACATTAAGATAAATTTCTACATACATTTATCTAGTAGTCATTCACAAAAGAAAGCTATGATTACCCTATCAACATGTTAAGAAAAAATATAGACTCGTAATAATATATATATAACTCTTTCTATAAAATGTAAAAGTCAGAAGGAAATCTTCTGATATAAACATTGCATTATCAACAAACGCTGTGTGAAGCGACTTCGTGACATATTATTTATATTTTATATGTATTATTTATTATACAGGTCGGAATTTTGTAATGCCACCTGACGGGAAAGTACTCTTAATACTTTAGATAGAAAATTTAATTAAAAGAAAACATTCCTTTATTTTTTGGAAAGATAGAAAACGATATTCATAAATTAAAACTTGCTTGCCGCACACGATAATCGAACCGACTAAAATCTGTAAGTTGCGCTGTACTTTTATTGCATAAAACGTAAAGATGAAATTTCTTTAACAAACTTCATAAATTGAATGAAAAGAAACCAATGAAATCGTAAATTATTAATTCAATGATTGACCCAATGGGTAAAGCAGAGTGGCTTATGGGTGGCATTATAAAATTCCACCCTGTATATATTTAATTTAAACCTATTTTTATATAAAAAGATAAAAATATATTTTAGAATTTAAAATCGGTAGTGTTAGATCTTCAGTCACTCTCAGATTGGCTCTAGTAAAACAAAAACAAAGTTATTTAAAGTATTCATGAGCCAGCAAATAAACCAAACTATGAAGTTACTTCAATAATTTCGACTTTATTACAAAATAATATAGTTGAAAATGTATCGAGGTTTCAGATTTCAGTAGTTTGACAAACTAGGGTCCAACAACTAGGTCCAGTGTGAAAAGGCACTAACAGAAATGACCGACAGCAATATAATTATGATTCACATGGGATATGAATGAAACAACGATGTTAGCGTTAATTTAATATCCACTTCATTGTAGAACTTCTGTTCAAGTATTGCTTAGTATGTTGGACGGAGCTGTCTGAACGATGTATGATGAAATAATAAAAAACTATGAATCTAGAATTTGTCAATGAGATAGGCTCAGAAATGAATTTAAAATAAAAACAGTCTATACTTTTAGTAATTAATTGATATACATTTAATTCTTAACACACCTAAATTACCTCCAAATAATACAACAAAAGCCTTCTTATAACTATGATACATTTTATAATTTCTTTTTTTTACAATGTTCCCTTGTGTCCTTTTATTTTTGGTATGGAACAATACTAGTTCTACTAGTTCACAAACTGAGCAAACAAATGCATTAAATACAAACAAAACGAAATGCACCGTAACTAATTAAATACAAATCAAATAGTGAGTCTGACTGAATGAAGGTGGTATAATAACATCATTGCGCCTGCCACATTAGGTATGGATAGTAATCGTTTCAGATTTCAAATAAACATCAAATGTTGATTGAAACCAACAATTATAATAAGCAACTTAAACAAATAGAATACACAAAACAAGGAATTATATAATCATTCCATTCAGAGTTTTATAACCACTAGTAAGATAACATAATAATACAAAACGCCTTTCTCGAAGGGCTCAGCAGAAGTGGACATATTCAATTCTGTTCTGCTAAGACATTTTAATAGATGGCGAGGTTATTGCCGAACACTAAGCACAATACAGCAGTTTGCAGTATTACGAATTTTTAAAATCGGGCTGTGTTATTGCATTTTGTCTGATAACAAGAAACCGATTTGGAGATCCTTTACTCAAAAGTAGACTCAACCAGTTGAGTGAACTGTTATAATACTTTATGGAATACTTTGCTCTTGGCAATATCATAAAATTGATAAAATAATAATACAATGAAATCAGTGACTATAAAACTCAAATAGGAATATAATACTTAATTAATACTTAACATTAAAACATGGAAAGCTACATCAGGTATGACTAATCTTCGAGGGTTACATTTTTGAACAGGTAAGACATGGACTCCTTGTTGTGGATACGTCTGATCGCCTCGCTGAGCAGCACTGATATGTCGATGGTTTTAATCTTGTTACACTGCATCTTTTGTAGCTCGTGGGGCACCGTGTTAGTGACCACAACTTCATCAATGGGCGAGTCTTCGATAAGTCGAGGCGCATCAGACGAGAGCAGTCCATGTGTTGCCAGTACATAAATTTTATACGCCCCACATTCCTTTAGCACCTCTGCAGCGGCGACGAATGATTGAACATCATCAATCATGTCGTCCTGTAATAAAATACCAATTTACTACCGGCCCAGTGTTGATTGTTTGATTACAGTATGAACATGGTTGAAGTATCTAGATATTAAAGACCTGTTTTATCGCTCCTGGTAAGATCTCTGTTAGTAAAATTTATGAATATTTTGAAATATACATATTTTGAATAAAATGAGTAAGTAAAGCATACTATTAGTAGTCACTATTCAGTTAGTTCTCAAAATAGCCAGTTAGGAAAACCCAGCCCTCATCTAGTAATTTAAAGATTGACGTGTAAAAGTGTTACTTTGTAACCTATTTACAGAAATTAATATCATTTCATGTCATTCCAATTCAAAAAATATAAAATAGAGGGGTATTCCACGAAGCGCACCCAGACGATGCGCACCTAAAGTATTCCACTTAGCGCACCTGTAGGTGCGCTTAAAATATAATATTTAAAATAAATAATTTCCTATTCCACGAAACGCACCTACGAATATCACTCGCATAGTGCGGAGACTAAGAAATAAAAATATCGATATAAGAACATATTTATTATTTAAAAGACTAACTTAAAATTTCTAACATCATTCAGTTTCATTATTTATTTTAAATATTATATTTTAAGCGCACCTACAGGTGCGCTAAGTGGAATACTTTAGGTGCGCATCGTCTGGGTGTGCTTCGTTTAGGTGCGCTTCGTGGAATACCCCAAAATAGATAGTGGTGAATATGAGCCTTTAAATGAAAAGAAATATAGGATACTTACCACCATGATAGCTATTCTGCCTCCCACATCACCTACGACGTTGATAGGCGGCTTCTCCTTAGCTGGATGTACAGGAACACCCACAGACACATCCATAGTACGAGATCGGCTAGAACAGATTCATTATAAGATTCTAATTTGATTTATAGATGTATGGCGCCCATCAGTGGTATCGAAGAAATCTATCGAAGAGGAGGCCTACCATACATAATTACATATGTATAAAATGAAAAAAATTCAGATTCGAACGTCTAAACAGGTCCCTGTTCCCTTTCACATTGGGGCCTGTACCATTTTGCCACCCTGTAATTACACCACTGGTGGTCATTATGGTGTAATACTATATTTGTAATTACAATTAGATCAACCATATAAAGAACTGATAAATGTCAAGAAGTGTGTAAATACTAGCAAAAATAGATATTACTGTTATCATACTCAAGTTTTTCTTATCAGTATGGCGACGATTTACAGTATCAACAAAATTACTTACTTAGGTAAGCAAGGAGGTGAGTAGCGCCCATCAACTTCATCGCTTTCGGCTTCCTTCTGTTCGCCGTGTATAACAGCAATAGCTAATCGTAAACGCTCAGCATATGAAGTTGCCTTTTTAGCAGACCCTGGATTACGAGCCACTATCACCGAATTGCGGTAATCTGGAATCTAAATGAAAATAATTACATTACTTTTTTTCTTTCATCTTTAAACGGTTCTGTCTGAAATTATTTATGAAAAAACAACTCTTTAAGGTGAATTTGGACATAAGCCAAAAGGTAAATGATGTGGAGCTGTGATTGGCATTTGAAATGTTCTTAACATAATTTATTTATTTATAATGTATCAGTAATTAGAATGGTGAAATAGTGTTTCATCAAGTATTTTGTAGACCATTAACTTCTTTTCTTACATAATCTCACAAATAGCAAATCATTATAATTATAATATTTCATATATTGAAATTAAATTTCAAGAACAAAGAGAAACTTACACTTTCTTGAATGTACTGCAATAAGAAAGGAGATGCCCTCAAATTATCAACGGGACACTCATAAAAACCTTGAATTTCCTTTTGGTGGAGGTCCATTGTGATGATGTGTGTCAAACCTGACTTGCACATCATTTTGGCTAGAAGTTTGGTGACAATGCATCCACGCTTCCTCATCTTACATTGTTTGCTGTAAGGCAGATACGGAATCACTCCAACAATAGACCTGGCCGAGGAAGTCTTACAAGCATATGCCATTATCAATAACTCCATTATGTTGTTGTTTACATCTCTGAAACACAGAAAATATGTTGCAATTAAATAATCTATATTGCATTTAATGATATTAATTGATGTAAATTATAAAGTATTTAGTAAAGAAAAGTATGATTATTTAACCCATATATCCCAAAGCGATCACCAGTGGCCGCTCTCCATTTAACTACATTATAGACCTTATTTCCGATGTTTAGAGATGCTTAACCCATTGAAAAAGGGGATGATTTTCAATGGGTTAAGCACATCTGTGTACAAAGTAACACTATGTTGTGTCACTAACTGACACAACATGTTACTTTGTATCTGGGACAATAGTACAATGAGATTTTGTAACAATAAGAGCAACAATCTACAGAGTTGTAACATGATTGCTAAGAATTCAGAGCACCTACACACCATTAGTATGGCATTTCAAATTTATTAAACAACTCTTGATTTCAAATGAATTCAATACTTTGTCAACAGTCTTATACATTCTTATTAGACAATTTGTAAATTATTAAGAGTTGTTTAATAAAGTAATATATTGTTTAAGATTATCATTGACCCGTATAGAAAATTATTACTGGTGATTTGAAACAAAACTTTTAAGATATTAATTATTAAAAATTGGCAAGAATAAAATAATTTTATGTGCATTATTGTATTATATGATACCCACTTAGTGCCAGTCTGGACTATGTAAATATTTTTTCCACGAATGGAATCAGCAATCTCAACAATAGTTTCCCTGTTTGTTTTGTGGTACACTGAGCATCCTCCCTTCCTCACACCAAGACGGCTGTAACAAAACATTGAAGTAATATACCAAGCAATTAAATAATAGTAAAGTCAGGTTTAATTCAATTACTGTATACAAACCAATAGATACAATATAAATTTTGAATGAGGTCAAACTACTTAACCTCTGCAAGTGTCAAACACTAGGTCAATACTAGGATGCTTGAAATGGTGCACTCACTGAAAGATGGATAGAATCAACTTACTTGGCAATTAATTCCGCTAGTTCAGGGTGTGAGTTGCCGCTTATGATCACTATGTCTGACGTGGAGTTACCCTCCATATTGCTCTTGCGAGATTTATTAGTGAAACCCACCAGCCTGCAAAATTTATTAGGTTTCCTTATTCAACAGATAATCAACCGCCACATGCGAATCTAACGAATTTAGGGAAGGGACAGCACGTTGGATCAACAAGAAAAACAATAAACCTGGTTTTGTTGAGTAACATAATAACCTGAAGGCAATTTTGTATGTAACACCGCAGAATAAAAGTTATAACTTCAAATTAAAATAACAATAATTTAAGAAATGACACGGTTGAAAACATGCGTTATTAGAAATATATTATAGTGTTTTACGAGTTGATTATTAATAAAATTACGGAATACGAAACGAGATCATCACTGACCGAGCCGACACCGAAAAAAATGTCTACAGATTAAAATTAAAAACTAGACAAATGAATGATTGAATAGTTGTCAAAAAGAATGAACTAACTCATAACAAGTTATTTTCCACCACGGTTCAAATACCGGTTATTTAATGATATTTAATGGTAATATTATTCAGATTATAAGAAATCCTGAATCATAGATTTTTAAGTACAAAGAACCATGCAAAGAATATGTGAAATTTTTCGGTAGTTTATTGATAGATAACGGTAGTATATTACTTTACTCTATGGTCAACTTTGAGATTTGAGGTTATATTTGTAGCCCCTATACTTATTATACTCTTTGGTAGTATGTTCCTTTGGTCTATTCTATTTATTATTTGGTGTTTGATTTCGAAGATATAGTTGTATTTTTGGTCTAACGTTAGAAAAATTAGTGATAGTGACGATGGAAATAATCACAGCTTTGTGCATAAAACAAAGAAACGAAAGAAAACAGGAAGATGAGGAAAACAAAGAAAACAGAAGATGTGATGAAAAAATAAGAATTGAGCATGAGTCGGGAGATGATTGAAGGTGTAAAAGATTCAATGTTTTGATAGAATATTAATAGAGCAACGTATAAAATTACTTAAATATTTCATCAGCATGAAGATGTTAGATGATCAAAATTTATACTAATGTGGCTTGATGAACGTGTGTTCAATAAAAAGAAGGCTAAGTAGAAACAGATGAAATGGATGCTAATTTCCATGAAACCAAAAGAGGGTGATATAAGGCATTTTTATCCATATTCGGAATTACCAAAGGAAAACTTTTTTGTTTTTTTTTTTAAATCTGCAATCAGCCGGTACGGCTTTAATCAGATGGGATGTCGTGCTATTGGGACTTTGGAGTCTCCATTTCTTTTCTTTCCGCTTAATGGGTTTATATAGATGCTAGTTGCATTCTTTTTCAGTCGAGATAGTTCAGAGCAGTTGTCTGAGTTTATGAGCTGTGAAGCCAGATGGTTAATGTGTCGCTCAAGGCGTTGTTTGTAAGACACAGATGAACTCTTTATTTCTTCTTTGACTGTCGGAATCTGCAGATATTCGTGCACCTCCATGTTTCGTGTGAACCATGGTGCATTAATCAGTACCGCTAGCACTTTGTTTTGGTAGCTCTGGAGGATCTCAATATTTGAGTGGCTTGCCGATCCCCAGAGCTGTATGCCGTAAGTCCAAATCGGTTTTAGGATACACTTGTAGATAGAACTTTATTAAAAAAAGGAACGGAAAACTTGAACATCTTTAAAAGTCATTGAAAACTACAGGTACTGCATCAAGTGACAAAAGAGGCAAACCGAGTTCAAACAAGAGATTAGACAGCTGTAAAGATCTGATATTTAATCATATAAAATCCTTTAACCCTTTACTTAACCTTCTCAAATAAAAACTTCTAAAAAAACAAAACAAAAAACAAATCTTATAGCCCTTTAAGGCCGGGAAAAAATCTTGCGTAGCTCGTTTTCGATCTTATATCCTAAGTTCCCATGTCCAAAATCATCCTAGAAAAATAATTTAAAAAATCCCTCCCCCTCCCCCCCTGAGAAAACGCCTTGTCACGATAGTGCGATGTCGGCTTTACCTTGTCTATCAGAATTTTGTTAGGGTATAATTTTGTCATGTATATTTTTGTGATTTATAATGAAAAAAAAAGGCATAATTCATCGTAATTATTTATGTAAATAGAACATTAATAATCAACATTTAAACTACTTCTTGAGATCAATCATTCCTTAAACATTTTGGGACAATCACTGAAAAAAAAAAATTTGAATCTTAGCCTCTAATTATTGCTTATGAAAGGATGTGAAGCAGTTGCCTTTTCTGTTAAGGCAAAGATATATTATGTTGCATTTTTCACATCTTATCTTGGATCTACTTGTACACCCTTCCGTTCTACAGGATCGAGGGTTTTCGATCTCGTCAAATACCGGGTAATGTTCATAACCATCGTGACGTTTCGCCTCTGAAGATACATTAGCCGGTCGGTATCGCTTGTCAGGAATATTTGGATCGACATTTTCCGGATCTTGAGTCTCCAAACCTTCAATGTTTTCAACAGGATCTTGTTCTGGCCTTGGACGATCAGGGGTATTGGTAAGACCATCAGCTACGGAGCAGGTCAACGGATTTTTTATTATGGTGAAATGACAAACTACACAAATAGTAGGCTTGATTATAATGTCGCTTAAAATAGTTATCTTTCCACCTGTTGCTACCTCTTTATTTTCCTTATGGCTTATATTTAATTCTTTCGTCTTTGGTGTACATTGGAGATGGTGCTTAAAAGTTTCAGTCTCGTTGTCGTTATTTCCCTTGATTGTACCAATTTCTTCTGAATCAACTTCACTATTGATATTTATTGCAGAATTTTCATTGTTAGGTTTCTTGGTTATTTTTATGGTGTTCTTACTTTTTTCAGCTTTTTTCTTGTCTCTAATCAACTTCTTTTCTTCCTTGATTTTTAATAAATTTTGCTTTTCTACTACTTTTACATGTAAAGCTTCTTTAAAATTTTGAGAACTTATAGCGTATGGTTGTCTTTCTGTTTTCTGTCTTTTTCCTTTCCTTATGGGCGTTTCCGGGTAAGCTAGATACTCTCCCAGTGAATATTTTCTTTTTATAATTTTAGGACTTGGTAACTGAGGCGTAGAGTTAGCCGCCGCTACTGCAAATGAAGTACTTGCTCGTGGCTCTTCAGAAGATATTTCTGGGGTATATTGTTTTTGTAGAGTTGTCGAAGCTGTTGTAGGTTTATATTTGGTATACTCAGGCACTGAGGAGAAAAGATCACACGTTGAAAGACTTTCTATTCCCTCAGATGTTTCTTCTGTAAGTGAGTGTAAATCGACAATGTTTTCAATTGAATCTTCATTGTTTTCTTATATGACAACTGAGCAATCTACTACTTCGTTAGTATTAGATTCAATTTCAGCATGCTTAAATGATTCCCATAACTTAAATAACATATCCAAGTGTTCAGTAACTTTTTGATGCGGCAATTTGTGACGTCTATTTTCGGAATCCTTAACAATAGATGGTCCAACGATCTTTGAAAAAGTAGAATAGGTTATCGTTGGTAAATCTGGAATAGGTTTTGTATTTTGTACAGACAACTTATTGCTTGCAGCACCAAGGCATTTTCCATAGTCAATGGCATCCGGATTAAATGGACATAGACCACACGCTTTAAAGCCATTTACTAATATTTCAGATCTTAGACTCGTCATAACGGCATCATTAAGTACAGGTGCAAAATTTAATTTTGTGAGACTTTGATTATTGTGTTCATTTTGCCATTTCCTTAAAGATTTTCTCCATCCTACTTTGAGAGGTCTAAAAGCAGCTACATCGGCTGGCTGAAGGATTCTTGTTGCGTTTGGGTAGAGTGCAATTAATTCGATCTGAAGATGAGTACAAAGCTGGCTTAAATGGAAATTTAAATGAGTCTTATGACCGTCTACATAGAGAATGACTGGGAATTCGACGTTTTTGCTGACGTGATATCGCACGCTGAGAACGAAAGTGACCGATTTCAAAATTTACGATTTTTGGAAATAGATAAAAATGTGTCGGACACATTCACGATATTCCATTTATTCGCCAATAAATTAATATTATGACAACATAAGTTAAAAAAATCGTTTTTGTATCATTATTGGACTTCATTACCATAAATATACATTATTATTTTTTTTTATATTTATATTTATAATATAGAATAACATTTTAAAAAAAGGTCACTTTAGAATTGAAAGTATTGTAATTCCTGATGACTTTTTTGGTCAAGGGTCTATATTATTTTGAGCAGTACTAAAAAATATCAATCCTTTTTCAAAAAATGACACTTTTTCTCTAAAAAAGGTTTGCAGTCTTACACAAAAGGACAAAATGAAAACAATGAAAAATTGTTAAGTGATATTGAGTCACTTCTGAGGTAAAATAGACTTAATAATAATATATAAACAAGAAATATGAAATAATAATTAAAAATTGTATCAAAAATAGGTATCAACACAGTGAGTATTGTTCTAACTTACTAGAGGTTTAGTAAAAAAAAGACAACTTTTCAAAATAATACTGGCATAGAAAAATCAACACAGTCTTTCATTTATTCATGACTTAGTTTCATAAATCAAGTAATGACTCCACACAAAAGTATTGTTCTGACTTAAACTAATTATAAAAACATTCTTAAATTGGAAAAAAATAACATAAAATAATTATTTTTGTAACAAATTAAAACAGGTTTCTCTTAAATCAACACTAGTCTAAAATAAAACAACAGTCTTCCAAAATATAACTTAGGAACTTTGTACTTACTCTCCACTACTATAATTACTATTCAAACATACTATTTATTTTTTAAGATACATAGTATATTAACTTTTTAAGAATCACTTATTATTAAGTACGATACATAGTATATTAGCTTTTTAAGAATCACTTATTATTAACTTTGTTATTACAACGATTAATCTATAAGGAATTATAAAAACTCGCATATATGCTAGGTATTAAATTTTTTCTTACTAAATCTTTAAGATCTCTTTTTTTATTTTCTTTTAACTCTATTGGTTGCTTATACAATTGTTCAATCAGGATTTCGTTGTAACTTAACATTTTTTTACGTTTATTCCTCATGTCAATCTCAGAGAACACCTCATCAGAATATGATATTTTATAATACAAGTGAAACAACTCCTCTTTAATAAATTTTATTGATTTAATTTCATTCCACAATACTGGTAATTTATTTATATTTTCGTTAAAATTGTATGCCCATTGTTC